TATTTTATGTATATTTACTTAGGTTGATCGATTAGTACCGGTTGCAGGTGAAGAACAAAAACAAGACTTTGCCTATTTATTATCAAAAAAGACATATCATTCAATGTCGGATGGTCATCTTTGGTTTTCAATCTTTCTAAGACCACCATCAATACGATTTACACGTTGTCAACGTTGTACATGCTGTTTCGTATTACTCTTAATGGCTATGTAAGTTTGATAGTTCACATTTTGAATATTATTTTATTTCTTTTTTTTCCATGTAGGCTTATGAATATAATGTATTATGATATAAAACCAGATACAAGTACACCTGGTGGAATTACTATTGGGCCATTTTATATTACACCAGAACAGGTTATTTTACTGAATTATTAAAGTTTTAACTAAAATCTTATTTTTTTTTCTCAATTAAATATTCAGATTAGTATTGGTATAATTGTTGAATTAATTTGTTTCTTACCAAGTACAATATTGGTCGAAATGTTTCGTCGTTTACGTCCTCGTCGTCCTCCAGTACCACCTGTACGTGCAGCTCTTCAAAAAATGCAAGATGAACAACAAAAAAAACAACAACAAGCTACAATTAATGATATACATCCACAACTAACTAAGTTCGATATACAATTGATTAGAAAAGTTCATATCTATTTTTTATTATTTTCTATTTAGTTTTGTTGTTAATAAGGATCCTGTTCTATCAAGGAAGGAACTTGATAATATGCGAAATACATTAATGACACCATTACCTGATAAACAAAATTCATCTCGTATTATTCAAGGAGAATTAAAACCAAAGAAAAAGAAACAACCAATGACTTTACCATGGTGGTTTATATTTATTGCATATAGTTTTTCATTTGTGGTTGTTTGTGTATCCGGATTTTTTCTTTTTGCACGTGGTGTTGAATTTGGTGATGAAAAAACACGTAAATGGCTTACATCATCAGTTACTGGATTTTTCTCATCAATACTTTTAACTCAACCAGTTAAAGTAAAATATTCTTTTTTATTTTATTTTCATGTAAAAATATCTACGAAATCAATTTTCTATTAGGTTGTACTCTTTGCAATATTTTTTGCATTAGTTATTCGTAAAGATGAAGATATTGCAATTGATACGGATGAAGATGATCTATTTCTGGATGGTGATGAAGAATATTTACATGCATTCGATGATGAATCTTTATTAGCATTTCGATCAAAATCTCGACATATACCATTAACAGATGGTGAATTAGCTTTTGCAAGACAAAAACGTTTGAATGAACTTAAAATGTGGGAAATAATAAAAGAATTACTTGCATATGGATCATTTTTATGGATACTCTATCTTGTTAGTTATTCGAATCGAGATCCAAATTCATTCTATCTTATGCAACATTTACAATCAGATTTTCTTAATGTAAATAGTGCAACTCAAGATTTTACACAGGTAAATAGATTTTAATTCTTTATTATGTCATTTATACATATATTTCTTCTATATTAGATTTCTCGTATGACTCAATACTGGGATTGGTTAGATAATGTATTTGTAGACAAAATTCGTGCTGCTAAATGGTATAATGGTGCACAACCAGCTAACCTAAGTGGTAAGTAAATCATTTGTATTGTATCGTTTAGCATATCGCTTGAATATTTTTACAGGTTATATTGCCGATCGAACAAATCGTGCACTTGGTTGGGCATCAATACGTCAACTACGTGTTAAACCTGGTATGTACATTTCGAAATTTTTTTCTTATTTAAATAATTCGATCGAAAATTTCTCTTAGATTCATGTGCAATTATGTCAGCATTTCAAGATCAATTTACATCTTGTGAAGCTGGATATAGTATGTTCAATGAAGATACACATTCATATTATCCCGGTTGGACATCTCTATATAATTCAACTGTTGGTCCACTTTCAAATTATTCATCAGCAATAAGTAATGCATTTATGTATAATAAAAGTGATACTCTTGGCACATATACATATGTTGGTGAACATGCAACATATAGTGGAGGTGGTTATGTATATGAATTTCGTGGAAAAATGAGTGAAATTGTATCGAATATGTCATTATTAAGAGAATTATCATGGATTGATGTACAAACAAGAGCTGTAATAATACAAATGAGTCTTTATAATCCAAATGTAAATTTATTTACACTTATTACTATTCTTGCCGAATTTTTACCAACAGGTGGTGTTTATCCATCAGCACGTTTTGAACCAATAACATTGTTAGCCACATATGACGGTATGAATGATCATTATTAATAATAATTAACTATAATCGAAATGTTTTGTTTTTCATTTAGGTTTTGGTATATTTAAATTAATTTGTTCAATTGTTTATATGGGATTTATAGTCTATTATATGCAAAGAGAATTTCGTTCAGCATTCAGACAACGTATGGCATACTTTCGTGACTTTTGGTCATATGTCGAAATTGGTATAATTGCATGTTCATGGGCTGGTTTAGGTGTTTATGTATGGCGTGCTCGTGAAGCTCATCGTGTTGCTCAATTATTTCAAGAAACAAAAGGTTATGCGTTCATTAATTTACAACTGGCAACATATGTCGATGATAGTTTAACATTCCTATTAGGATTTTGTTGCTTCTTTGGTACAGTTAAATTTCTTCGATTATTAAGATTTAATCGTCGTATGTCAACATTATCTGGCACATTAAGTTATGCATTTAAAGATTTAATAGCATTTTCGGCTATGTTTGCAATAGTTTTTATAAGCTTTTTAACATTATTCTATCTTTTATTTTCTGCAACAATTATGGAATGTTCAGATCCAATACGAGCAGCACAAATGTTATTTGAAATGATGTTATTAAAATTTGATGTATCAAATTTACTTGCTGCTAATGCTTTTCTTGGACCATTGGTTTTTACATTATTCATTATATTTGTCGTTTTTATTTGTATGACGATGGTATGTATTGAAAGAAGAAACAAAAAAAAATGATAAAAATTTCTTCTTTTAGTTCATTGCGATTATAGCAGATGCATTCCGAGTTGTTCGAGAAAATGTTGCATTACAAGGTAATGAACATGAAATTGTTGGTTTTATGATAAATCAATTCAAGAAAGTGACAGGTAAAGAAAAGAATATTTTAAAAAAATTATTTTATTGATCAATTTTTTTCTTTAGGCTTGGGTACAACGCAAGAAATGGAGCGTTTACATATGAATCCATACGATGGTAGTAAAGTTCAATATCATGATCCAGTTACATCATTTCCTGATAAGATGGATGAATTATTAGTTGCTTTAAATAAGGTAAAAAAATAGATTTTTTTGAATTAATTCGATTTTTATTTGAAATATTAATTAGATTTATATGGATAATAAACGTCATGATACATTTGCGCTTCGTCCAAATGAGAATTATAATCCATTGGAAACAGATAGAAGTCAAGATGGCGTATCAAAAACGAAGAATAAAAAATAATTTGAACAATTTAATAGTTTGATGTTGTCTGTATGTCTCTACTTATATATTATTATCGTTGTAATCATCATTTTTTGTGTTGTATTTCAAACATTTGAATTTTCCTTATAATCGATATTCATCATAATATATGAAAAAGCAAACTTATATTTTTTAATCTCGAGTGATAAATAAATTATATATTCTGAAGAAAATTTGGCTTTTTTTTGTGTGTATGTATAAATATTCAAGCAATAAAACTCTCAATGTTGTTGTACTATTCAATTAAACTTAAGTAATGTGAAAGATAAATGATTGGTTTGAATCTAACTAAAAGATACATTAATATAAATATGATAATTGTTCTAATAGCTTCTCTTATTTCGTTAGATATTCTACGACATGTTTGGTATATTTATTGTATTTCGAAAATTATAGTTGTGTTAATCCCTAATGTATGCCTTTCATTTGTAATTGTAATTATAGACACCATTCAAACAAAACAAAAAAAAAAGAATGTCGACTAGTTTTATTCTTCATTAGCCTAATGACCGGAATTTACAAAAGAAATTCGAACATTATTTATTCATGTGAACAAATAAAAAAGTCTTGAACTTCTTCGGTCAATTTTATTTCATTTCATTAAAGAGAAAAAAAAACGTTTTAAAATTCTACTTCGTATTAATCAAATAAATGTTCACTTCACAGAGTAGTACTTTGACACCATTTCTAACCTGTCTCGACATAATGAACATACGATATTTCTCTTCTTCTTCTTCTTGAAAGATCAGACAGAATGATAGCTAATGATCAAAGTAGAGTAGAGCGACTACTGTTACTTATTATAAACCATCATAAAAATACTAACATACTATTGGAAAAGGTCAATTATAGGCTAGACAATCAAAGAGTTCGTCAAATAACTGTTTTTCACATTGGCGCAGGTTAACCGTCATTACTACTACATCCGATCATACAGAACAAAAGAAATTTTTTCATCCATTTAACATGACCTGGTGTCCCTATTGAGACATTCTATTGACCGATGAATACTATTGAACATCTGTTACATATATATACGTATATATATACTTAATGATGCACAGTTCATTTCATCCTATTGTGTGCGACATCTATTTTCTATTACTCGTTTCAATTGTTTCAACTATAAAAAGTCTAGCATTGTTAAGAAAATCGAAATCATTCTTAAATATCTTTTTCTTATATTACTTTTTCTTTAGTTTATACTATAACGAGAAGATAATTATAAATATATACTAATTAAGAAGGTTCAATCATCTCTATTATGGCTAGAAGTAATATATTGTTGTTTTCTTTTCCTCTTCTTTTGTTGTATGTCAAATGATCAGTTCGTTATTTTCATTGAAGTTTTCTATAATTCCCTCGTAAATTAAATCATTCTATTATCATACAAACTATTCAATAGAAAATTTATAAATAAATAGCATCCCATGAGAATTTACTAGACAAGGTTAAAGTTATTATATAACTTTTTGTTTTTATAGATCATTTTTTCAGTCATATAAGAAATTCTTCATCATAATGTCGAATTTTTCTAAAGATCATCCATCAATTCGGTAATATATTTTTTTTTATATTTCATTTGCATAGTCATCTTTTATTTTTCTAGTGTTTTTGCACCACCGGGTGGTCGTACTGCTAATATATTTGGTGTACCAGAACCTGAACCACCAATGTCAATAAAGAAAAATCATATGGAATCAGATATTTTCGGTTGTAAAAAAGATAATACTGGTTTTGTACCCGTCAAGTAAATAATAAATCGATAAAAAAAACTTCTTTCTATTTATTTATTTAATTAATTAGACAAACACGTAATGTAACAAATAATATCTATGGAAATGAACCTGAACAGAGCGTTCAAAAATCGAATATGTATTCAAGTAAAAATAAATCAACTATATTTGATGAAGCACCACCTCAACAACCATCAAATAAACCTGATCGTCAACGATCAGATATATTCGGTACAAATGAACCTACACAATCAGCATCAACACGTGTAGTTTCAGAAAGATTCAAGTCAAATATATTTGGTAATGCAAATGATGATGTACAAACAAAACGTCAACCAGGTACACGACAAGGTTTACGAGGTAGGTTACAACAAACAAATAAACATCATAATTATCGGCCATGTATTGCCATAAGTCTTTATTCACCATTGAGATTAAAAGGTAGCATATATTATCATGAATGATTTTGTATGCATTGGGTTCTATTGTGCATTTTATTTTGTTTTATTTTATTCTATACATTTTATTTAGATCCAAATGCATCACGCAGTGAGTCTGATGTTTCTTGTTTGTATTATTTCGAACTAAAAAATATCAGTGAAAAAGAAATTTCTCTTTCATATTGCGTGTTTAATGTTTTTGTTAATATTAAAAAAAAACCCAAACATTCAGAGATATAGATAAGCTTTTTTTTACTCCTTTTGTGTGATTATATTTTCCGGTATTGAACACATAGAACAGTGTGTATCACTTACTAAATGATATATATATATAATTTATTTTTATTGTCTATTAAAAAAATAAACGTAATCGGATATTCTAATGCATGATGCTTTTATTTAGATGTTTATCATTCGTCAAGCTTCAATCGTATTCGTGTAAATGCCTATATATTGCTTTGTTGTATTGTTGCCCATCTGTCACTTCCTTTCGAGGGAATAATATTAATATAATTGACACTTGAGATCTTAAACTTAACCGCCCTATGTTCATCTGGAGATTTGATAATTAATTATTTAATGCTTTTCTTCATCTTTTGCTTTGGAATGTGCTATATATATATATGATTTTATTTTTAATCTCAGTTTTTAATTTTAAATTTATTTGATTTCTTATAGTGGGTTATAATCCAATCAATGGTGAATCTTATTCAACTAAAGATGGTTTAAATGCAAAAATTGAACAATTAGAAATTAAAGATAATGAAAAAGAATCAGATGATATAATTAAAACATCTGAAACAGACGAAGAACATGGAGAACAACAACAAGTTGAGAATGGTAAAACTGAAACAAATGTAAATGCTAGTGAAAATGGTGATGCTGAAACAAATGTAAATGCCAATGAAAATGGCGATACACAAGTATCCATTGAGAAACCTTCTAATGGTACTACTAATGGTACTAATGGACATAGTACTGCGAAGGTAAAACAAACAGCTAATAGATTACATATATAATCAAATCTTAAAGTGTTTGCATTAGGGAAAACAATAATAATTTTGTGTCTAGAGAGAACAGTTTTTGATTCTATTATTTACAAATATTTGATTAATCATAACATTTCTTTTTTTGTATTTCAAGAATGGACATACCAGTGTTCGTGTATTTCATCCACCTGGTGGTCGATCAAATGGCCCACTTTGGTAAATATCGTCCTTGCATATTTATCAATAGTTACAACGAACGAACAAATAAATAAACGAACTTCAATAATCAATGTTGTGTTGTGTATCAAACAGTTGTTTGATTTTTCTTTCTATTCATCTATGTCATTATTTCTTATTGCGCTATAATTTATATGATCTTATGGGTTTGTCTGATCTTTCTTATTTAATCTAACAGCATGATTCAGATATATCAATTTCACGGTGTTTTTTTTCATTTCTGTTTTTTTTTTCATTGTATGTTAGCGTGTGTTTCGTTAATCAAATCTTATCCATTTGTATGTAGTAGAGAATGAATGTAGCAACAAAAATTCATTTTCTTCTGTTGTGCGATTATTCAATGGGTGTTTTCTTTTTTTTTTTGACTTATTATCTAAACGTGCATTTCAATCATTTAACAAACAGGGAAATAAATAAAAATTAATTGTAGAATTTAAACACGCATATGTCTTAATTCACATATTTCAGATATGATCGTTCAACGACGTTAAGAGAGAAAAATAGACGATTGCGTCCTTTTTCTTATCGCCGGTGACGAATGTACAAACGATAGATTGAATTTATAGAAGTGTAAGTGTTTCGATCGACTTAACAGAATAAAATTATATTATAATAATTTAGCAAAATATGATCTCAAACGGTGCATTAGATGGTGAAATGTATGGAGTTTCACCATTTCAGCAAGTAAAAAAGAAAATATATTTTATTTTATTTAAATATAATTTTCTTCTAGGGAAGAACATTTATGACACCACCACGTAATCCACCAGTTTATTATAATAATCCGAGTTATTCCCAACCATCTATGATGACACGTGATGGAACATTGAATAATCCTGGTGCTGGTGCTAATCCAAATAATACTAGTGCCTACTTATCCGATTTACATTCACATTCAGTACAAAACAAATTTTCACATGTGAGAATTTTAAATTAAATCTTTACGAAAAAAATATCAATTCAGACTATTATTAACACGATTTTATTCGAACGTTACGTATGAGAATTAGAAATACAATCTAGACGTATTGCATGAGATGGTATTACTAATTCGACCTTTCATTCTAAAAGACGACGAGTTAGATTATTCACGTATATTAATATATTTTTATCCATAAAAAACATAATCACTCTGTTCTTACAACATATTGATGCTAGATAATTATCTGGGATATAGTAATAATAATAATCATCCGAGATGTCAGTAATATGATGAATGAACCAGATGTTCTCTATCATATCCATCAAATATCTCTCTAATTGTTATTCATACAAAGTCGTTGATTTTAATTACTTCGTAACATTCTGATTATCCTAATAGTGAATTTTAGATTTAAAATTACTTGTATCAAAATTCTTTATGAGAATTGTTGAGAGAAATGTACAACAGATTCAGAATTTAAAATTTTTACTAATATAACTCAGAGAATCAAACCTCATCATGAGCACTCCCCGTCGTCGAAATCATTTGATGTTCTACTTCAATTGAAAAATAAATACTTCTAATTATCATCACTGTCTAATATTTTCTCATATTTTTCTAGCCTAACAGTATGATGGGTACATCTCGTTTAGCTCATCTTGGTGTTAGTGGTCCATTTAGTAGTCTTGGTCCTGTTTCCAATCATGGTAAGTTATTCTAAACTAACAAGTTTAATCAATAAAATCATGTTTTCCGTGTGAATACACTGCCTTGCTTCTGCATCTTTCAGTACGCAAAAGCTTACAAATGACAAGTATGACTGATTATCTAAAAAACACATTGCTCGTCTCTCTATTAAAAATAAAATGAATCATGCATGCTACTTTGATTGATTATTTTCTGCATGATCTTCTTTTTTCTTTAACTTTTTGTATATATATATTTTAAGTTTTTATTTATTATTTTTTTTCTACTTTAGTCGATGCCGCAGCCGTGGATAATAATGCACGCATATCGCCCGAAAATAATCTTGATTTTTATGCTTATTCACAAGCAGCACCATACAGTGTAATACTCGCATTTTTTTCTCATTTATAATTCTGTTTTTATAATCTTGTTGTTTCCTTGTGTATAAAAAAAATTGACTATTGTTTATATATAAATATACAGATGCAACAATTGTCTGATGATGATCTGCTTATTGGTGGTACAAGTCATGATGAAAAAGAACGTACAATACCACCTGATATGCCATCTGTACGACAGGCACGACCAGATTTTGCATATTTTATGAGTGATGAATTGAGGTGATTTGATCGATTCTTCTTCTTGAGAAAATTTTGTTTTATATAAACATTTTTTTCTTTAGAGGTGAATTACTCAGGCGTAATCAGATATTAACTGCATGTGCAAATCTTGATGTAGCTGGAGGTGAGAACCAACCAGAAGCAAAAAACAAAGGACTATATTTAACAAAATTTCTCTATTTATTTTAGCTATGCCAGAACGCGTAGGTGATTACTACAATTTAGTACCACTTGATAGTAGTCAAGCTAATGTCCCACATAAATCCCGTACATTTCGTTATCAAACTATTAGTTATAAAGCAACACATATACGAACTAATGCTGTATGTTATTTAAAAAGAATAATGGGTATGAAATTAATGAGAAGAAAACAAATTTTTTATTTCTTTATTTGAATCAAGGATGTAAATTACCAACAACACGCCTTTATGATGTTGTTGAAGCATGGAAAAAAATCGCTCATGCTAATATTGTACAATTACGTGAAGTTTTTTTAACAAAAGATTTTGATGATGAACAACCTTGTATAAAAAATTTTTTTATTATTGATTAAAATATGTATATATTTATGTTTCTAGCTATCGTTTTCGTCTATGATTTTATTCCAAGTTGTGAGACATTACAAAAACGACATTTTAATGCAAGTAATAGTTTACTTAAAGGCTGGGCAAATCCTTATAATATATCTGGTGAAGATCGTCCATTCAGCGCTGGCAAAGGTATGAAAAAGATAATTTTAGGTTGAATATCATTTAAATTTTTTTTTATTTAAGGAACAAGTCAAACAGGTTTATTATCTGAATCACTTATTTGGGAATATGTTGTACAAATATCTTCATTTATTCGAACATTACATGGTGTATCACTTGCTTGTCGATGTTTGCATTTATCAAGAATACTTGTAGATGGCGATTCAAGAATAGGACGCGTAAAGTCTAGGTACAGATTGTCTATAAAAAAATAAATAAAAAAAGCTTGTTGCAAGAATAGAATTCTCTTGAGTAATTAAATTATAGTCTTATTTAATCATATTAAATGGAACATAGTAGAAGAAATATAAGAAGTTCTGACATGTTGATGTAATTTTATTATCTTATTTAGCCTTTTAATTCCATTAGACCTTAAGGATTATATAATAAAATATGAAATTTTTTACATCATATGTTAGCCACCTTTTTACTAAAAACAAAACGCGAAGCAGTTGATGTAGTTTCATTCTAACTTGTTAATCAATACATTATTTTCTGTTTGTAGAATATGGCTTAGTGGTGTAGGTATTGCCGATATTCTTGATGGAGCAATTAATGGCACTGTTCATCAACATATAGTAATATTAAATTCATTGTTTTTTAATCTAAAAATTTTATATTTCTAGCAAAATGACTTACAAGATTTCGGTCGTTTAATATTAATGTTAGCATGTAATTCAATTGTAGGCGCACAAAAAGAACACCTACAAACATCATTAGAAATAGTCCAACGAAATTATTCACATGATCTTAAAAATCTTATTCTGTAAAATTTTTATTAGAATATGAGAAGAAAAAAATTTAGTGTTTCGTTTTTATTTATAGACATTTCTTATTACCAACAAATACATTGAAACCAAAAAATATTAATGACTGTATGCCAATGATTGGTGCACGATTTTATGCACAGATTGATAATTTACATGTACGCGGAGATATTCTTGAAAATGAATTGGCTAAAGTGAGTTAACATATTGAATTTGAGATAAAAAGAAAATTTGATGTATTTAGGAACTTGATTGTGGTCGTTTGTTTCGTATGATTTGTAAACTTGATGCACTTCTTGAACGACCAGAGTAAGTATCGAATCTTATTAAAATTCAATGAATAGCCGATCGTAGCCGATAAAAATGTTATCAGAATGAAGATTAAGAAATTGTATTCAGATTTACAGTGTAAAAGTTAAATGTACTAAATCACTAGTTACGTAGAATCTGATTTCAGTCTTATAGTTTAGTACATGAATGAAAATCAAAAGAAAAGTTCCGAATCTCTAGTTATTTCTATGACTATATGAGTGAACTACTCTTCTGCTATACATATATACGTATAGATGAGTTGGTTCTACTGAATCCAATGCATGTGATTTATCGATTTGACTAAGGTGAACACTATCGAATATCTATTCGATCTCTAAATTCAATCACTTGAAAAACCAAAAAATTAATCATTATTATTATTGTTATAGACACTCAATGAATCAAGCTTGGTCTGAAACAGGTGATCGTTATATATTAAAATTATTTCGTGATTTTGTATTTCATTCAATTGGTTTCGAGGGTGAACCCATTGTTGATATCGCACATATTGTTCAATGTTTAAATAAAGTACAGTCAAACAAATTTTTTCCAAATGATTATTCTTCTATGTTATATTTTTATTTTCTAGTTTGATGCAGGTTCACATGATAAAATCTGTCTAACATCACGAGATGAACAGAATGTTATTATTGTTAGTTATTCTGAATTACATCAAGCTTTTGAACGTGCTTTTACTGAATTAATGAATTATGGAACAACAGGATCATCTTAAATAATCAATAAAGAAAAGAAATTGATTATTCATTCTGTTTGTATATATATATACGAAAAAAAAAAGTTTTACTCTCTTCTATTCTTCAACTTTATCTGTAATGTGTAAAGAAAATCTTACATCCTATTTTTCTTTTTCTTTTTTGAACGTCGTTCGTTAGATATTATTTCTTCATTATAACTATCATATAAAACAAACTAATGTTCGATTTTGTGCGTCTAGATGATATAAAGATTATGTTGTCTGTTTTAACCTTATATTAAAAAAAAGCATCGGTGTAGTTCTTTTTCTGTTCAATGTATAACATTCAATTTTTTTTCTTTTTTCTTTAACAAGCTATATAAAAAAAAGAACGCATTCGGCGTGATCAAAAAATCTCGCTCAGAAATTTTCTAGCATCGTTCATGAAGAAAGCAAATGTTATTATTTAAAAAAAAAAGCTTAAAAGAAAAGAAATTGCTACTTGAATTCTATTTGACGAAGAAGAGAAGAAAAGTTGTGTTATGTTTTTCTTCTGTTTTTTTGATATGCAAGAAAAAATTGTCGAACATGGCAACAGCAATAACAACCATGATTGCTAAACGTTTCTTTTTTCATTACTATACAACACTTTCATCAAAAACAAGGATAGATTTTTTTTAAATATGACACAATTTGGATTAACAGATTCAGCTAGTCATCTTAATCATATCCTTCCGATACCACACACTCCATCATATCTTAGTCGGTTAGTAAATGAAAGTAATCATAGAATTTCATTGAGTTAAATAAAAGTAAATTTTCTAGTCATCCAATCTATCCAAAAGCAAGTCCGGAGATTTCAACACGTACATATAATCCAATATTTCCAAGTTATTGGCAAAAATCATCGGATAATTATGCTGTAAAAACTCGTGATTATCATTGTGCAACATACACATATCTTGGACCAGAATGGTTTAAAGCACCTCCAAAAGATTTTGCAAAATATAAAGAACCTCTTCATCCATCAGGAGCAAATTCAAATGTATAAATTCTTCAATTGTATTATAGCATAATTAAACATGACTTGTTTATATATTTAGAATAATCGTCCATTTACTGCTGCAAATCAAAGATCGTAAAAATTAGAAAGAAAATAGATTTTCGTTTTGTATTGTTTTTTTCTTCTTCGATTAGACGATCTACTGATGATTGGTCAAAATGTTTCGATGATTATCCTGGTCGATTTAAAATTGCATATGCATCTGATGATGATGTGAATGATTTATGTTTTAAAAATAATCTTGTTCATTATGATTCAAGTGTTACTCATCGACCAAGTCGTTATGCTGTAAGTTTCTCATACCATCTAATTGACAAGAATCTATTTTGATTAATTTATTAAGTTTCAAACTGATAGAGAACCGAATTATCTTGCAGCAGGAATACCAGGTCGAATTGAACCTGTCGTGTAAGTTAATTGAATATTTATATATGTAGGCGGCAATGAGAGAGATATGAATTATTTATTTTAGAAATCCATTTCAACAATCGGAAGCAAAACATACTACAATTGGTACTCCAACATCATGGTATCCTTATGGTAATACACCAATTCGATATCAAGATTCTGTTAGCCAAAATCCACGATTTTAATCTCATTGAATTAATTTCTTAATAACTAAAATAAAACATATTATTTGACTATTTTAATGAAAAAATTTTTATTTTATTCACATGTATCATTTCTAGAAATATATATTTATATAGAATCTCTCTCTTATCGAATCTTTGATCAATTAACATTGATCAATCTATTAATCGCATTTGATTAAGAAAACATACTTATAAAAATATTGTTTAGTCTATCGACATCCTAAGTATACATATATATATATATCCAAATAAAAAGTAAAATTATCCAAGTAAAACCAACTCCTAATTGATTTGCATATATACATATCTCTTTTTTTTTATAAACAAAAAAATATCCAATAATAGCTTTTTTTTCTTCCTCGAAGATTATGATATTAAAACAATTCATTTGCTTTTTAACTGGCAATCTGTTGAATAGATTAATTGATATGATCTTTTTTCTTTCAAAAAAAAACAATCGATATTTAATTTATTCACATATAAATAATCGATTATCATTATAAATAAATAAATTTTTATTCAACTACTCAAGATAGTAGGTGTTGACTTTTTTTTGTGTCTTATATATATATGTATATGTATATGTATATGTATGTATATATCTTGTATGTATAAATAAAAGAACACACAGTTGGAGTACGTCGAATAGCAAAAGGTCGTTTTGTTCGGTATCATCATTTTTATCCTTCCTGCTGTGCTGTTGATTCTGCTACTGAAAGAAGAAGAAAATATATGGATAGACAATGATTGTACCGATGGTATATAGAAAGATTTTTCTAATGGAAAAAAGACGTTCTGTCATCGTCTTGTTGATTCGCGAGAGCAATTCCATACGCGTCGAAGAGCAAGAAAATATTGTTTATACATTTGTTATGCTTCTGTATGTCTATGTATTGCTATTTTATCATTAGAACTGATTCTCTACATGAACGAACGAGAATCATCATCATCTTAGAATGGAAAGAAGAAGAAGAAAAAAAGATAGCTAACTGTATGATGTCTTCTTCTTCTTCTTAGAACAATTGTGTATATTGATGATTGGTTCTTGTCTTTCACCCTTCTTGTTTTTTTCTACTACATCTCATATCGCGCACATACTTGTATATGGTATTCTCTCTCTCTCCCTCCATCTCTAGTGATGAATTAGTCGATCTCTTATTTCCTCGTTTTCCATCCGTTTGGTATATACATATATCATTCATTCAGTTAGACACATAAGACGTTATATTTAGAAAACGAGAAGAGGCTTTTTATCTAATTGAAATTTTTTCTTTTTTTTGTTAAAGTGACGGACGATTGAAGTAATTTGTTTGGTGGTAATAGTAGTAGTAGTAGCAGGAGTAGTCGCAGTGTCATTACATTTACCTTGTTCTGTTCTTTCATTTCTTCTATCGTTCTATGTGACTATTTTTTCAAAAGTAGGAGAGTGGAAGAGAGTGATATAGTTTTGTTGACATATTTAAAACAAGAAAAAAGAAGAAAATTTTTCTATTTTACTTCATTTTCTTTAAGTATTTACATCATCATCATCATCATCATTATTATTATCATCATCGATGTCATTACATAAAGATACAACATTTACAAGTAAGAATTAATGAATTATTTCATAAGTAAATAAATAAACTTAATGTTATAGAAATTTTCGTTGGTGGGTTACCATATCATACAACAGATGATACATTACGAAAATTTTTTGAACGTTTTGGTGAAATTGAAGAAGCAGTGGTAAGTAGTTAATATACTGTCTATTATTTATTAATTATTTTTTAATAAAGGTTATTACTGATCGACAAACAGGCAAATCACGTGGTTATGGATTTGTAAGTAGAGAGAACAAAAAAAAAGATTGATTATTAACACGCGTATATAGATATGTCAGTTTTCTGTCTTAAAAGATAATCACTTTCTTCTCTTATCATTTGCATGCCATCAATCAGTAACGAAATCTATGCATGTCTGCTACTAATATGAACGTTCTTATGCTTTTTCAACTTTGAACAAACATATATATATAAAGATTTATTAGAGATTCGAATAGAAAACGATAAGAGAAAGAAGATGAAATCTTTTAAGTGTATTTTAATGTTAGTTTAACATTGCAATTAACTTGTATTTTAAAGGTGACTATGAATACACAAGAAGCCGCAAGTTTAGCGACAAAAGAAGCCAATCCTGTTATTGATGGTCGAAAAGCAAATGTTAATTTAGCTTATTTAGGTGCTAAACCACGTGTAATACCATCTCCAGCTGGTAAGTTTAAATTTCAAAATTTACAAGTTCATTTTTATTTTGTTTCAATATATGTGTGTGTTAAAATAAAAAAAAATATTCATATAATGATTAAATTGACTATCCTTTCTCTCTCCTCATTAATTATAGTACGAGCAGCATGAGAAAAAGAAAAGAAATAAATTAGACAGTAAGTGGATGCTCTGGATGACGCTGCCGTTTGTTTGACTGAGCACGGGTTTGTGCCAGTTACTTGGTGTTTATAATTATTATTATTATTATATATATTCTTTTTTGTTTTTCTTAACCTAATACGATCAATTTTATTAAACTAACTAAAACATTTTATTTTTCTAAATGTACGATAATAACCATACCCACACCATTGTGGCATGGGGACTTTCTTCTTCTGTGTTTCGAGTGTTTGACGTTGGTATTGTTGTGGTGCTCTCTCTTTTTCTCTCTGTCTTTCTTTTCATCTCTTTTACTTCTATGTCTGCGCCCATGTGCTCGCTTTCGTGTGCGTGTGTGTGTCTTTTCTCAGTGCTTTCATTTTTCATCTCTTAGTCATTTGATCACTTAGTAGCAGTAGTAGTTGTATGAATGAGACAAACAGGAACAAATATAATGCTGATGATAATATAAATTTATTTTTTTCTTCTTCTTTTCGTTTTGAGACAATTGAAATTTGATTCTTTATAAATAAATATTGAAATATACAAAAGACGATAACAAAATTTCTAACAGCGTGTATGTGTGATTTGTATGCCTTTAGAGTTTCACCTCGATTGTTGCTGTTGTTGTTGTTGTTTCTTGGTTGCAATAATCGATTTGATTGATTTTTTTTATTTTGTTGTTGTCTTTTAATATATATATACATATGTATATATTGATCAATTAAAAATAATTTAGTAATTTTAAAATAAATATTGTTTTTTTTATTATTATTGTTATAGGTCTTATCCCTCTTCATCTAGCCGGCGCTTATTCAGCAGCATTACCAACAACTTATGGGTGAGTTCATTTTGATTTTTCTTCATCTTCTTCTTCTTTCTCTTTAATTTTCGACGGACAGATGAGTAAACCCCCTGCAGAGAAATCAAATCAATCTTGAAGTTAAAGAAGAGAAAGGAAAGAATGTTTATTTGAAAAACAGAACATTCGAGTAATCAAGCGAACTTGATGAAAGGCCACCCCCTGTGTATTGACGCACACACATATGATGCTGATGACGTGATTGTTCTCTTATGTTCACATAGATTTCTTCTATCGAAATTAGATAGTTTAGATAAACAAAGAAAAATAATTTTTCTTTTTGAAAAATAATCTATTAAACATATGTTTTTTTTTAGTATACAACCAATTTATTATCAACAACCACCAACTACAACTTTATTAGCGACGGCTGGAACACCTCAAACACTTAGTACATTAATACCAAATCAAACAACAGCAACATTAAATGGTGCTCATTCATCACAAAATCAATCCACAGGTGGACCATCTTATTACGAATTAACGTATGCTACAGCTCCATTAACATCCGCATCGATTGAACAACAATCTTATATTTATGCAACAGCTTCTGGACAAACGTTTTCTTATGCACAATTACCGACTGGTGCTACTCAACAGCAAACAGGTCCGACAAATCTCAATGATGTTTATGCAAATCATGCAGCTAAATATATGATTGACGATCATAATGGAGCTGTTGATCGTGACCATCATCAACGTACAGCAGCTGGATGGTGATGAAAATAAGTTAGAAGAAATTATATGCAGGGAAAATGACGAAAAAAAAAATAAAAGTTTATGTCTAGATCATTAATGTTTTGTTTCTTCATTTTCTTTTTTTTTCATGTTCTTTTTCTTTTCTTTTCATTTTTTTTTGTTTAACTTTCTTTCTTCTTCAAAAAAGCAGCTAGATGATCATTTTCTACTGTACAGTCAAGACTATTTGTTCGTTGACAATAAATCAAGAAAGCGAGATTTATCTTTAATTAATTTAAACATTATTTTATTTTGATCGAACAATTTTAGACATGTTATGCATCATTACAATATGATCATCATAAAAGAAGAAAGTGATTAGTTGATTGTAAACAATTGAATTTCAATTAATAAATATCTACTTTGAAGATGAGTTTGAAATGTAAATATTCTATACGATTCATTTAAAATCATTGAGGATAAAAGTTACTTATATACTAAGGAAATATAAACGAATGTATTTTATGTCATATTCTTTTAGACAGAAATTAATTCAGATGTTTATACTGAGAAGAATTTCTTTTGCATGGTTTATTATTTTATCCAATAAGTAGTTCTATTATAGTAACTAGACCAGCAGTAGATTTCTTTTCTAATGGAAATTTAGTTCGTATTTTTGGATGAAACGTGGCATAAATAGTTTCGTATAATATGCGTGTACTATTGAAAGTAGTTAAAATAATGTATCGCACAGCATGCTTTTCTCTGTATTCAAGACATTATTTCATAGTAGGATCAGTTTCTAAGTAATTGAAATACTCTGATATTATAAGAGAAAAACAGAATAACTGATAGAATAAAGTGTTTGTTAGAACTTGAATTTAAAATGATGTATTTCACATTATAAATGACGAATATCATTGAACTAATGAGATGTTTTGTTTATTCTATTACTTAAATGAAAGTGAAAAACATTTGCATTATAAAACTTTGTTAATTATTATTATTATTTAAAACGCATAGAATTCTTTCTTGACAACTAATGCACTATTTTCATTGAGTACTTCAAAAATAATTAAAATTTATAAGAAAAATCTCTTTGCAGTAATTTAAGCTATTCAGTTTAGAAATAAATTTTCATCACCAATTTTTAAATCTATCTGTATATTTTCTATTATTATATAAACAATATTCAATATATGGATAGATCATATCTTTCTTTTTGTTTAAAACAAATAAAAAAATATTTAACAGGAAACGAAATCTTCCATACAAATAACAGAAAGTATAAGGAATAATCCGGTCATACTTGTACTTCCCATTGCAGTTGATATTTCAGTTATCACTGGAAAAATTGATGACTGGAACCATTTTACTTTCAAATCATCTAGTTTACCTGCGTGTCTCCATAATAATAAATTAATATGTAAATCTTCTTATATATCTATTGTTTAGGAAGAACAATACCGAATACACTTGTATAAAAATTTCTACGTCTATCAGATCTTTCGTGTACATAATAACCTTCAATTGATGAACCAGCAAAAATTCTTATACAACTAAATGGGATTTTTTCATTTTTGACACCATCAATTCCAGAGATATTATCTTCTAATTTTGATGATGTTAGATCAGACACTAAATTAGCATAAAAACCGCTACCAAATCCTACAATATGGTCAAATGAAAATTATAAACCCATTGCAATTGCTGGCGTCATTGATCTTTTTTCGAGTCTTCTATTGTCAGATCTTTCTAATAAATAGACTAAAAGAGCAGCAGAGACAATAGCTTCCAAGACTATTAACCAAAGACTGAACGAAAATGGTTTTAAATAGGATAAAAGATCAACATCAACATCAGTTGTTTTTCTTACCATGATGCGTAAAGAGGAATCAACTATTTCTTAGCATGTTGAAGTAATTGTTACATCACCAACGAATATATCATAAACTCCTTCTGCTAGTATTTTAATTAATTGAGAATAAGGTTGATTTGGTGCCAATTGTATATCTGGAATAAATCCCATTTATTCTCGTAAATAGTTCAATCAAGTCAAGAGCATAACCATTAAATATCATAGTAGTATTTCCGGATGGATGTAGATTAAGAAAAGATAATATACCTACATCCACACCTACACCCACAAAGATATCATTATTATTTTGATTTTGATTATAAGTCAAATGTCAGGAATCACTAATAGTTTAATATAATATAATATTATAATACCAATAGAAAAAAAATGAGAAAAACTAAAAGTTTAGTAAATAGACTTTATGCAATCAATTAATAATTTTTCAGACTTGTTCTATATACAATCGAAATAACAAATCAATGTTAGTTTTTCTATTAAAAAGAACAAGACAAACATTAAAGTTGAATGATATACTTATTTGATCGATGAAAATATATTTACTTATATTGCTTCCTAATATGCGAGTGTTTATATATTTCTTTTTGTTAAATACGAAAAGGAACATAAGTACATAATGATGACTAACATATAATTCGATAGTATTATTTTTTCAATAAATAAAAACGTACATATTATCAAAAGTATAATACTTTTAACGATTAACTGATAATTTTGCAAATATTTCAACAATGAACCTTTCTTTTTTTCCAATACTTAAATTTTTACTATAAGAAAAAACTGCTTAAAAATGACGCTTAATACATAAACGGAAATTTTTAACTTGGAAAGATTTAGGATGAGTGTGGATGAATATGCAGGACTTCATTATTTATCTACATTCACACCACCACTCACACACACACACACACACACGTGGATCCACTCTCTAATTATGCTTCTTTAAGACCTATTTAGGAAATTCGATATGCCTTTTGTGCATTATCACAAGGTTGTCGATTAGAAAAAAGATTGAAAGAAAAAGCTTAACTATCAACGTAACAAGAAACCTAAAACAGCAGAAAGCATCCTATGGTTAATTGAAAAAAGTAATCATATCATTGTAAATTATTTTGAACTTTGATTTTCTCATATGAAAAGAAAAATCATATGCTAATAAGAATTCTTATTGTATTTAATTTCATAATTTCTTTGATCGAAATGAAAATGGGATTACTTCAGCGTTAATATTTTCTAACCTATATATAGCCAGTAGCGAAATAAACTTGTTAAACATCTAATCTTTGACCGAACCAAAATGGCGTAGGGAATTTTAGTTTTATTTATTTTATATAATTCTCAATTAGAGAACTTGTTTATATTGAACTTTTTCATCAACGGATCAATATTTATTCTTTGTAACATAATATCCTTCACGGTATTCTGATTCTTATAAACATATTTTACAGTTATATAATATTCAAACAGAAGAAAAAACGTTAATTACAGAAAATCTGTCTGTGTCTATAATACCGTAAAGGTCATATACTGATAATTGTACCGGCTTTAATATGATTAATAAGATCAATGAATAATAAAATTGTCCAGTGGCAATCAAAATCTCCTTTTTTCCGTAGAGGTTGAACATAATGCAACGATAGACAATACAATTCAAGGACTGTTTTTATCATTTATTTATTTAAAATAGATTCCAGAAAAAAAGTAAAGCATGCAAAAATGACAATCTGTATAAATAGAGAAAAAAACAATGATCTTATGTTCATTGAATATGATCATAATTCTTGATGTGAGTATCAAAATTATAGCTATTCCATGTGTAAATAAATCAAGAATTGTATTAGCTGTTATTGTGTTGGCAATAATAATAATAGCCGTCTAAGGAAAGTTGATATATTACATATGGAAACAATTATTGAAATTACATTTTCGTCTACTAATAATTTATTCTTCATTAGATTTACAGACCTTGTAGATCGTCCATAAATCATAATATTTATTTACAACTTCTTTAACGAGTTTACCAATCTTATGATTATTACAGTTATTTAATTTACACCAAAATTTTATCGATGATTGATGTTTGAAAACTGCTCGAATAGGATTACTTTCTATTTCTCCATTTCGTATTTTAAGTTTTTCAAACATCCTTATTTCAGTATTGAGTTCAATCATTGGTAATACTCGTAAAGGTACATGTTCACATTTGCCTTCATTTTGTTTTGTATTTAACGAATGATACCATGAACATGCAGTACCAGAACAAAATTCTGTATTATTATCATTACCAACAGTACATTTATCTAAATAAATATTTCTAATTAACTATTTATTTTTCCAATGAAATTATTTACTTGTTTTAATTTTTTGAACAAATATTAAAGAGCGAATATGAGATTCTAAATCTTTATAATTTGTTTTAATTAATCGATCAAGAATTTCGAATATTAATTGTTGATCACATTTATGATTACTATAGCAAATTAAATTTATTTTCGTTTTAATCGATGTTTGATTTATTTTCTTTTCGAAATTAACCGATGCCATAGACGTAACAATATTTATATAAGTATTTTCAACAGAACGAAGACGTGGAAATTCCATAGACTGACCAAATTTTATTATCAATTTTTGATTAATAAAATCAAATTCTACATACACTTGACACATCGTACGATCAATGCTTTTTAAATTCTTAAATATTGTTTCGTTGTTAAGCAAAGTCATTTCAGATGATGATAATTGTAATTGAATTTGATCGACACATTTAATACTATGATAACCTTCCAAAAACAATATGGAAACAATCATATGAATAAATGATACCATCCTTCTGTTAATAATGATTGTATGACATACTACTTTTCTATAACTAATTTATATATATATATAGCATCAAGAGTGTGTCAATAATCAATCATATGAAAGCGCGTGGTCGGGTTGACAAGAGATGTGTAATGTAGAGGAAAGAAGAAGAAGAAAAGATCATGCTAGAATCATAATGAAATATATACTATTGTTATGATATTCATAACAAGGACATTGTCGATCATGGTAAAAATAAATGAAAATATTGGTGAATAATGTTGTCAAATAGTTCTTATTAATTTTTATTACACATTTTAAGCACGTTTTTCTATCTTATGTCTATATTATCTAGTTCAATATGTAATAAATCATCGTTGACAATATGACTTCTTTCAAATATTGTAACTCATTGTTTTATTTCAATGATTTTAATTATTTCTCAAATTTACATGTATTGTTTCTTATCATACTTTTTTTTGTCTATTTATTTTTAATAGACAAAAAAGTACTCGATGAATTTATATAATTAAAACAGCATGTTCATATATATTAACTGTATTACTATGATAGAAATGGAACTATTTAAATGATAACTTCTCTATACGAAAGAGGGAGTTATATGTCAGTATTTAAAAGTTCATACATTTATATCACTGGATGAATGATTGTCAATTGAAAAGTATTTTAGAAAGATAGACTAGATAAACAAAATAGGAAGTGAATTAATTCAATGGAAATAGATACGAATAATCAACCAACAGTATCTTCAAATAATACGGAAGAATTAAAAGAAAATGAAGATGAAGATGAAGATTTTTTAATCATGGCTGATATAGGACATGATATTGATCAACAAACTGTTCTCGAACATGCTTCCAAATCTGAAATTCGAGCAATTGATATTGATAGTACAAATCCATATATTCAAATTGGTCCATATACATTTCAAGGACAATATAATTATATACTTGGTACAAATTTATTCTTTAGTACAACATCAACAACAACAACCGATGATAGTACAAGTACCAGTGATCGAACAGAAGAAGCAGGAACAAATAATCCTAATGGGAATGATTTAAATTTAATCGGTTCAAGCGATAAAAAACTAAATTTATCACGTGTTTATATTTATCCTAAAAAGAATGATGATATTGATAATCCATCCAAATCTTAATGTAATATATATATGTTTATAAGAAAAAAATAAAGAGAAAAAAATTAAACTATCTGACAATTTTATTGTTGAAAATATAAATGATGTCTATGTTTTTTTTTCAAATGTTGTAATTCTATGTTGTAATCATGGATGTGCCGCCTTGATCAGATTCTTCTAAGACTGAAGATGGAAGAGTAACCGGGATAATATCTGCTTGAGTAATTGTGCTATTTTGTCGTGATGATAAATATTCATTTAAATCATTTGGTGGTTCTAATATTGTTAAAGAATAATGAAAATTAGAAAAAAAAACAACGATTTGTTTTTATTTTACCTGGTAATTGTTCGACGTAAGTTTTACTTTGTGTCATGTTGAAACATTTATTTAATAGTGTTTGAGCAAATGAACTAGCTGGACTTAACCAAAGACCCTGATAAAATAAAATAGAATAAATAAAATAAAAATCTAGAGAAATAAAACGAACTTGATGAAGATATTCAATAGCTTGACCATAATTTCCTTGTAAAGCATGAACAAATCCAATAGCAATAAGTGTTTGTGGATTACGTGGTGTTAAACCAAGGCATTTTTTAAAATGAGCTATTGCTTCTTCATATTTTCTACAACAAAAAAAAAGTTAAATATTCATTTTTTTCACAAAGAAAATTTTATCGAACTTTAATTTTCGACATGCATGTCCCATATTATTAAATAATGGTTCCCAATAAGGTAATAAATCCACTTGATCAATCGCTTCAACTTTAGCTAAAGCACGTTGAAAGAAATGTGATGCATGATTATATCTAAATAAAAAAAACATTTAATCTATCGAATAATATCAAAATTTTCTTCATACTCTCGATTAAGATAATTAATTACACCTAATTCATGAAGTACAGCTGGATCATCGGGGTAAAATTTTAATGATTCAGAATATAAACGTTCAGCTAATCGAAGATTATTTGTTAAACTATATTCAAGGCCAACGTAAAGTATTGGCAAATGACAACTATATGAATATAAATAATTAATAATTTAGTAGATATAGAAATTCTTTACACATACCCACGCATAACATCTGCAGCAGTGAAATAAGCTGATATAGCATGATCATGTTCAGATTCGAGACCATAAGAATGACCTAATGCAAGCCATGCTGGACCAAAACTTCGACATAATGATGTTGCTTTACTGAGAAACAAAAAATCCATAGAAAAATAAAAGAAAATGAAATTTCATACGCTAAATAACGACGTGTTGGTTCAGGTTTTTTTGTTACCAAATAATAACAACCAACAGCTAACCAACTGATCTAAAATTTATAATAATTGTTTGTTTTTTTTTCAAAGAACTTTCAAATTTTGGCAAAATAAAAATTAATCGTAGAATTACATAACTTATTTTGACAATAATCTGGTAATAAACAACTAATAATCATCTGATGTAATATTTTCGAATATCGATTACATGAATTCTCATAAGAATGACATACGTCAAATAAATGTCTAGAAGATCTCGCAGGAAAAATGATTAATAGATATTCGTATTCTTAGTTTATATTCTACGTCCTTGAGAAATTGTTAGCTATTATCTTAATTACTTTATAATAGATCGACTATATATAATGAACTTCTCAATAGTCTACAAACCAATTCTGATTAACATTCGTCACTTCTTCAAATTGAAAGTGAAATGGGTTTGTCCAAAAATCAACCATTTTCAGACAGTCAGCTTTTCTTATCGATTTCTGAGAGATGTTTTATTTCTTTTTTATTTTCCTATTGAAATCCAATCACTATTAAAATAGTATGACAGCCTAAAAATTGAATTATTTGTCTTAAATGATTATCATCGTTTTAATATACAAATATGTCTCTTTATATTATTGTGATTAATATTTAAAATTATCATGATACTGTCATTTGAGAGCGATCGCTACGACGTGCCGACCTTGAACATGTGATAAGCATTTGCTTAAGTGATAAAATATTTTCAGAAAATTAGATATAAAGTTGTACGCACAAATTTCTATCTAAGTAGTACTAGTAATAACATTATAAAACATGTTCGTGCATTAAAAATAATGATTATTTAGGGACGAAGAATTCGAATTTAAGACAATCAAAGTATCTCATTAGTAATATGGATATATTGTCTATTGGTTGAAATCAGATGAAAAAATGTAAATCTACAGATAGTTCGAAGATATAGTTGTCTTTTTCTTTGAATAAAAAAATTCGTTTCATTACAATTAAATACTATTATTCCTTTTTCATATAAATTCTAATTATATTGAATCTTTAAAATTTACATACGGGATTTTCAGGACATTGTCTTGCTAATCGATGTCCCAAGCTGAATAATTCTATTTAAATAAAACAAAAAATGAATATATTTTTTTTCACTCTTTTATCAATTACAAACCAGTTTTATCTTTCATTTCATAAAGTAATGCAATATATATAAATAAACCATGTTGATGAAATGGATTATGAGTGAGAACTCTAGAATAAATAAACTAACATGAATACCAAAAAAGAAAAAAATATATGGATACATACTTTTTACATAAATCGAATGATTCACGAAATTTATAATTATAATAAAACTTTTCTGCAATCTAAATACAAAACATTATTTTAAATCTTATCTATTTCATTTTAAATAACATACATTTATACAATAATCAGCATTATCATTTAATAAACCGATTGTATATGTTGGAAGATTAACAACAATTGGTTTCATATACTAAACAAAAAAATCAATCTTTTATTGAAAAAAATTCTACTCTAAATAAGTTTTTTACTTGATGCACTTCTTGTTCATATAAACATCGTACAACTGAAGCAGTATCAGTATCACATTGCTTTTCAATGATCATTCGTTCAACTAATCGTTGTTCTAGAAATCAATCATTATTATAGTACAATAGTCAAATATAACTAATTTTTTTTATACAGTTTGAACATTTTTCATGGATCAATATCCATATGCTTATTAACAAAATTAAACAGATCAAATATTTCTGTAAATTTGATTTGTTTAATAGGCAAATATTATCATTTAACGGTCAATTATTTTATATTTATTTATTATTTTATTTTAATCAAGGTTATTCAAGTCCCACCTAATGAGTCCTTGTAATCAGGGCTCAACATATTTCATTTGTAGTCAAAATATGAAATTAGACAAATCAAATTTAGGTATGTCGTATTTAAATAGCATGACTTTGTTCGATTACGGTGTAAATTAGTGGATAAATACCTTCTTCTGGTGTATACATATGTTTTTTAATTAATTTTTCATATGCTTCGGCACAAAAAACATCGAAACGAAGTGCTTCTTCATAGAATTTCATTGCTTGTTGTAATGAACCAAGAACTTCAGCAACTTTACCGCGTAATAAACAGATTGATGCACGAAGCTAAATAGGAAAAAGAAAAATTTATTCGTAAACTAAAAGGATTCATTGAATAAAATTAAATACTACAGGATTGGAAAATTCCATATTCGTAGTTTTAGGTGTAAATGGTGTTTTAAATGATGTTCCTGGTTGTTGTTGTTGTTCGACATCTAAGATTTCTTCAAGTATTTCGAGAACATTTGCTGCTGTTTGATAATCTTTTAAATTAAACTAAAAGAGAGCAAAAAAAATATATTCGTTTGATAAAAATTATTATGAAATAAAATTACATGACAGAGTGCAACAAGATATTTAAATTGAGGATCTGTCTAGAAAATATATATATAAAAAAAATAGAATCAAACTTTTCTTTTAATAATAAATGTCTTACATGATACATAGGAGAATTTTCAAGAAGAATACGTGTTCGATTGTAATCACCATTGGACATAAAACATTTGGCGACAAGGAGTAAATCATCAGATGAATCTATATAATTATTAGATAAAGTTATTAAATATGATGAGTATTAAATAATTTACTTCGATTTAATGAAAGTAATTTATCACCCCAAAAAGCAGCCGATTCGAATTGACGCTAAATAAATTAAAAGTTTTAATATTAATATTCAATACCTAATTAGAATTTTCTTCTCTAACGCGCAATCCTTTTTAGATCAGGCAATAAATAGAACGAGTCAAATGCATAAAGCTCATAGCCAAATACGCATCTTATATATAATTACTTTGTTTTAACGGCTTAATTCAGATTTATTTTCAGAATACAACAATCTACTTATGAACTTAATTATAATGTTAACGAGTGTATACTATCGAAAGATTAGGAATACTAATCTATTAACAAAAAAACAGTAGAACAATTGAAAAATGTTGGAATATTTTCAATTCATCATCTCACCCTCGATGATCCGCTGTATTTTATTATAAAATTTGAAACTATGAGGAATATGAACATCATCATCGCGAGCTAATTCCACGCCTCAAAAATATATACTTAATCTAACTAATTATTAAATTTCTCAAATTTAAGAAAAATTTATTGAAAAGAAATTTTCGGTTTATTACCTGTGCTGAATAATCTTCAACAACTTTTCGTAATCGATTCACAACACGTTGGAGTTGCTCTTCAGGATTATCAATCATTATTGAATATTATTATGAAAAAAGAAAGAATTCAAACGGACGGACAGCTGGATATTTGAGTCATCTATTATGAAGAAAAATAAATCTTGAATTTTCATTGGTTAGAAACCTACCCTTATACATGTACTTCATCCTCTATTCATTTTCACTCCATCTGTCAAATGATAAAACAAATTTCTATGCATAAATGTGTTATTTAATAAACAAATGAATGGCTGGATGGTTGATCACAAGAAAAAACAGTAAAGTAATCAACTATTGATGCTACTGCAACTACAACTTCACAATTTGTTTGTGTATTGGTCGTTGTGGATGTTTGGCCCCTACGGCATAAGCTTGAATTTCTTTTTTTTTCTTCATATTTCTAGATAAGTTCTCTCCTACTGTTTTCGTTTGTCACATTTATTCAAACGATGCAGATATACATCAAAAAGCCTTCTATGAACGTTAAATTAACATTTATTCAATGATTTTTTTTATTCAATCATCAGTTTTATCTTAAATTATCCTTCAATTTCTTTTCTTTTCAAATACATAATTATAAATATATTTATCTATATACATATATATATATATTAAATATGCCCAAAGCAGGAGCTAGTTCAAATGCTGCACCATGTATGAAAGAATTCTTTCAATTAAAAAAACACAAATTGAATATTTTTATATCAAATCATTTTAGCACTTGCACGTACTATTCAAGCAAAAAAACGTCGACCTAAAAATGGTGGAAAACCTCGACCACCAAGAGATTTACTTCAAAAAAAATTGTAAGTAAAAAAAATCAAGAAAAAAAAAAGGTGTTCATCAATTGATGAACATTTTCCTTTATTGATTAGATATAGAAACGAAGAAAAAAAACATATGCATATGTGTCATGATCATCATTGTCAAATAGGCAGATAGATATATATGCTTTTTATAGACATATCTTGATATGCATGATTGAGGATGATGATGATGCGCAAGAAAGAGGGAGAGAAATATCATATAAGTGAGGGAGAATACAGAGCGAAGGCCATTTGTTAAAATAGTGACCGTGGACATGTTAATATGAAGGATTGACATGGCTACAGGAACATATTCTACTCGTTTATATCATTCGGCTGTTGATGGTCTAGTCAATTCAGCAGATCATGACCGTCAAAATTTAATTACAAAACGACAAATACCATCCCTACGTTGTCCTATCGCGCCTCCATCTATTCGAACACCATATATGCCTCAGTCTTATCCAATACATTCCAATGTATTACGATCCTCAACAGGATCAGTATTACATCGTGGACCAAATCCACATATATTACCAACAAGACTACTACGACCAACGAATGTACGATGGGATTCACCAATAAATATTGTTGATTTTAAAACACGTCCATTAATAAATCAAAAAAAATGTTTTCAAAATCCATATATTTTTCAATCCAAACCACATCTAGTTCGATCCGAATCATTACAAATGCCAAATACATATTTACTAAATAATGAAATTATGCAAAAATCCAAACTAGATGCAAAACATTTTTGTGGTCTAGCACCTATACAAGAAAATAAATATTTGATGAAAGAAATACCTGCTTATCGAAATTCTACATGTATGAGTAGGTGAGATATATAATGAGTAAAAATAAATTCAAAAGCAAATATTGAACTAATACATTTTATTTCTGTTAATTTTGTAATCTAATTAAGAATCTTTTTTTTTTCTTCTAATAGACCTACAACTAATACTAGTGGTGGTGCTCCAACATCACCATCAGTTGTAACTCCATCAACACCAGTTACACCAATAGATTACGCTCCATTAACACAGAGTAATTCATCATATAATATTATTAATAGTGGTGGTACGTCAACGAATCCTTCACTACAAACGACGTAAATGATCATGATGATTATTATTATTATGTTTCTATTTAATGAAGATATTTTTATTTTTTAATAGAAATTTACGTAGTAATGGTGATTTAATGACAGATATGGTAAGTAGTAATGCGCCGACAGTTGTTCCAGTCAATATTGAAAGTGACAATGAGGAAGAAGATGAAGAGGAAGCTCATGACATTCGTGGTTCAGATGATGATGAACAAGAGGATCCAAAAGATTATTGTAAAGGAGGTTATCATCCAATAACAATTGGTTCAGTGTTTAATCAACGTTATCATGTTATAAGAAAACTTGGATGGGGTAATTAAAAAGACAAAATATATTTCTATCTAAATCATATATTTTTATTAGGTCATTTTTCTACTGTATGGTTATGTTGGGATCGTAAATCCGCTAGATTTGTTGCAATGAAAGTTGTTAAAAGTGCTAAACATTATACAGAAACAGCATTAGATGAAATTAAATTATTAACTCATGTACGAGAAAGTGATCCATCAGATCCATATCGTCTTAAATGTGTACAATTACTTGATGATTTTAAAGTTGCTGGTGTTAACGGTACACATGTTTGTATGGTTTTTGAAGTACTTGGACATAATTTACTTAAATTAATTATACGTTCAAATTATCGTGGTATACCAATACCAAATGTCAAAACTATAACTAAACAAGTACTACAAGGTCTTGATTATCTTCATCGTAAATGTCAGATTATTCATACGGATGTAATAAAAATTGAAAAAGATTATTATTGTTATTGTTTTTTAACGAGAATATTGTTTTCTTTTCTAGATCAAACCGGAAAATGTACTTATGTGTGTTGATGAAGAACATGTACGTGCTTTAGCTTATCAAGCCGCTGAATGGCATAAACCAGGAATCAAACCAGTTGGATCTGCAGGTAAGAATGTTTTTTGACAAATGATTAAATATTTATAGAATATTTTTCTTATATTTCATAATAGTTGCAACTGCTCATATTGTTAACAAATTAGATCCAAAAACGTTGACAAAAAATAAGAAAAAAAAACTAAAGAAAAAAGAGAAACAAAAACAAAAAATGCTCGAATTAACTCAACAACAAATTCAGGTATACTTCAACTTTTTTTTGTTGCATTATTTAGATATTTATTATGATTATGTTGTTTTATTTTTAGGATGCTGAAAAACAAAAACAAAGTTTATTAGGTTTACCCAATCAAATTAATTTAAATAAAATGGTTCTTACCGATCAAATAACTGAATTAAAGCCAGGTAATTAATTTATATACATTTTAGTTTTGTATTCAATATTTTATTTAGATACTTCGGAAAATATTTCCGCCGAAAAGAAAATTAACGGTCATCAAAATTCGTCAAAAGAAAAAAAATCTGATGAAAGTGATGAAGAGAATCCTGCCATACGACCTGGAAATGGTCATGACAAAGAACAAAAAACTCATTCAACTAATGGAAATACAGAACAAGAACTTAATGAAAAAGCTGCGTTGGTTGCTACTACTGCTATTTCTGGTGATTCAGAGAAACAAACAGCATCAAATGAAGCTGATACAATATCTAGACGTAAATTTATTCTGAAAAAAAATATAAAATTATATTTTTGTTTAATTATAGCACGACCGATGGCTGAACGAACAGCAAATCCAGTTGTTGAAGTTGTATCTGACGATATTATGCAAGTTAAAATAGCTGATCTCGGAAATGCTTGTTGGACAGTAAGTTGTTGTTTTTTTGATATTGAGTAAACATGTCTATTTTATTCTTTTCTTTTAGTATCAACATTTTACAGAAGATATTCAAACACGACAATATCGTTCACTTGAAGTCATACTTGGAGCTGGTTATGATACATCAGCTGATATATGGAGTGTTGCTTGTATGGCATTTGAATTAGCAACAGGAGATTATTTGTTTGAGCCACATAGTGGAGAAGATTATAGTCGTGATGAAGATCATATTGCACATATTATTGAATTATTAGGTCCGATACCCATTGAAATAGCTCATTCAGGTCGATATTCACGAGAATTTTTTAATAAACGAGGTAATAAAAAACTGGTTAGAAATTTAAACAAAAATAATAATCTAATTTTCTTTTGAAGGACAATTGCGTAATATAAAACAATTGAAACCATGGGATTTATTTCATGTTTTAACTGAAAAATATAAATGGCCACCTTATGAAGCTATTGAATTTACACATTTTCTTGAACCAATGCTTCACTATGATGTTAATCTACGCGCTACTGCTGCAGAATGTTTGATGAATCCATGGTAAAATTCTTTCTATCTAATATTTCATTCTCATTTCTTTCTTTCTTTCTTTCTACTAGGATCACTGGTGAACCTTTGTTTGGTAATCCAACTGAAGGTTTTATGTATCCAGATGAACAATTAGGTTATGGTGGTAGTAGTAATGAACATAGTCCAACAGCTATACAAGCTGGTGCTGCTGGCTTTGATTTTCATTCACATCCGACTGATCTTGGTAGTTTCTTATCAGCTGCCGTTGGACATCAACAAATCTTACACGGTGCAGTTGATTTTAATCCAGATGAATCGGATGATGATATGTCCGAAGTATCAGATGATGACGAACAATCGGACGGTGATGAAAGTAGCGTAGGCGAGCTTGATGAATGATTGATAAAATAGGGTGGCTCTGTATGTGTGTGTGTCTATGTTTCTTCTTTTTATAATTTATACTTTGTATTTGTGTTTCTGTATGATGTGTTATCACAATTAAATCTGTTCGGACGCATGAATACATTAAAAAACAAAAAGACGAAATGAAGAAGCGTCTGACTGTGATACACACAAGTATAGGCTCTCTAGTTCTTATTCATTAGCCTAGCAGCCATGGCGTTCTCTTTTTTCTATTGGTTTGTGTGCGTGTTTTTGTAAAACAGTGTTTGTCAAGAATCATTCCCATAAAACATGTAGAAGAGCACAAAACAAAACTTTACAAATTTAATAACAGATTCACTATTATGAGCAATGTACATTTTCTTCTTTTCTTTTCTTTTTCCTTTTTAAAAAAACAAAACAAAGCAACTTAAATAGGTATTTTTGTTTCTTTTTTTCACCTACATAAATAAATCTTATTCATTCACCCATATACATCCATACGTATCATTTTTCTTTGTTTGTTTGTCTGTTGTGTTTTCTTTTTCTTACGATAATATGTTTTCCTTCTGTTTCCCCCTTTCGTTCTAATATATATTCTTTACACATATTAAACACTTTTTTTTGTTCTTTTGCACACTTGAGGTGTTTGTTTAAAAACGTGTCGATCAATTTTTGTAACACACATACATATATATACATACATATATATATATATATCGTATACATTTAAAGTCAGTTTTCGCGCTCGAGATGTCGTCTCACTCTTTTTTTCGTTCATTCTTTTTCTTCCTGCTTTGTCTTCTGAAGATCTCATTATCATTAAATAAAATGAAACAAAAAAACCCATATGAAAAACAAAATAATGTAGATAATTTAATGCGCAAAAAAAGGAAAATATCAAAACGATTAATATTCTTTGAATTCAGTTTTTATTATATTATTATTGATGATTACAAATAACAAACGAATTGAACAATTTAAGACAGAAAAGGTATTTTTTTATTGTTTTGAAATGAAATAAACAATATTCAAGGATAGAAATAAAACAAACTCGAAGGGTTATAATTATCAATGATAATAATAATGCAGTTGTTAATAAAAACAAATGATATTGACTAGTGCGTTTAAAACAAATAAACATTGTTAATTGATTTTGTTATCAACGACTCGAAGGTTAGAATCGAAATATATCAGAATATTTCACACACATATATATATATATATATATATAGAAATTTGTTTACTGAACTTATTAGACGATAAAAGATATAATAATAATCATCAGATGTTTTTTGTTTATTATCCTAAAAATAGCACTTGCTCCTTTCTCTTCTTCACCTTTTGTTTCACAATGTTTGTTTTTATCTATTAATCTAAATATTTCGGTATTTAGAAAAGAAAATAACAAGGTTCTATTAATTAATTAATTAATTACCAAAAAAAACATATGATACACATTATTCTATACTAAAAATTAAATAATTTATTTTTTTCTTATATTAGAAAATATGATGACAGTATTGTATCGTTATCAACAAATGATCATATGAATACTAATCAATCATCACGTTTATTTTCTCGATCAAAACCTATACTTAACGAAAATAATCCAAATTTAATCCTAACAAAACAAAATCGATCTCATCAAATTCATCGATCAATGTCAACATCTAATTATATCGATTTGACAAATCCATTATCTAAACAATCAATAATTAATAATCAATTAAATACAATAAATTTTCTATATGAATATTTACAAAATGAAAATCATGATGTATTAATTGATTTACTTGAGAGAATAGTTCAACAAATAAATATAGATCAATATTCATATTCAGCTATAAATAATAATCATTTTCATTTATCCCCAACATTAAATCCAAATTTTCAATTATCAAATAATAAAGAGAAAAAAACTAAGTTAAAAAGAAATTTTACTAATAAATTTTACGAATTGTCTTTCTCTAGAAAACATAAATCAGATGAGAATGGAAAAAAAGAATGTAAGTCAAATGATTATCTTTGAATATAATAAAAAATCAAACATCTTTTTTTTTCAATTAGCGAAAAAAGAAGATGTAAGTTAGTTTATTTTTCAAGGTTTATATATATGACATATCTTTTGATTAAATATAATTATCATAGAAGAAAAAAGAAAATGATAGTAAGGTTTGAATTGTATCGAAATTTTTAAATGAACAGATTCTTCAAGATAATGAAATAATAAATAAAAAAGCAAAAAAAGATAAAACTAAAGAAATCGAAGAAACAACAACAACAACAGATTCACCAGTTTCAACATATACAAATCATTACAAAGCTTCACCCGAAACAAATGGATTTTCATCTCTTTCTATTCCTGTACCGCATTCAGGTGGTTCATCTACAATAGGTTTTATGTCACCTAATCCATCTCGTAATTATATTCCACAACAATCTAATAGCATGTATTTGTATTCATCAGAGTTAAAACTCAATATTTTTTCTTAAATAGTTGCACATCTTCCTCAAGTACAACAACAATTACAATCATTATCACAAATGGTTACTTTTACATTGAAATAATTATTTAAATAAAGAAACTTTCTAGGCACGTGATGGTGATGAAATTTTAATAACGTTAAGTGTCAATGCATTAACTCAAAAACAACCAATTAAAACTCAACAAAATTCGTTTGTTATTAATTTAATGTTTTTTTTCTAAACATGGTTAGAGGATATAATTTTAGTTACTTATTACAATCATCGAATCAAATGATGACTACATCAACTGAATCTACGATGCCTCGTAATCTTGAAATTGTAGCAAAAGGTTAGTAATATATTCGAAATTTTATAAAAAAATAAATTAGATGTATTTTTTTAAAATTTCAAATTATTCGTATTCTAGGTTTTGCACGTGTACAAAATGAACATTCACAACCATTCATACCGACTATAAATCAACAACAACCTATGATTCATTCATATACTCAACCAACTCCTATGATGCCTTATCCATCTTTTGTACCTCGCTATTCAGCTCCATGTAATTCTATTAATGGTCTGCCATCAACCCCTATTGGGCCACCTATTCACCGTATATATTTGTCTATGAATGAAGCATATATATATTTTAATTTTTAGCTATAATGCCTTCATCTAATCCGATCATGCCTGGTGGATTTGTGCAACCACTTAATTGTACTGATTTTATGATTAATAGACGAAACAATTTTGATAATAGTAAGCATTATTCTATAATTCACTTAGTACATATAATCAACATTATGGGAATTATTTGCAAGCATGCAATCTATAGAACTAACACATGATTTGTTCTGAAATGGATAAAAACTTTCTAACGATCTATTCTTATCCGAAATTTAAACTGTCTATTTTCAGCTCATCATCGATCACATCTAAATACTGGCAAATGTGATTATTTATGTCAATCTTCACTCTATCAACCAGATTTTCGTGGACGACCATCGCCATTATTGAATTTTTCTGCAAAACGATCTTCGAAGCATAAAACAAAAATAAAATACAATGAAGAACATAATATTATTTCCGAAAATATTAACCAAACATTTTCATCTATTTATTAGATTTATAGTTTTTAAAACAAAAAAAAAGAAAATTTTATTTGTCATGTATACATTGACACCGGGTGTCATCAGATATAGAGAGAAATAATAACAAAACAGAAAAAAAATGCCGCTAGAGATAAATTTGAATGTAAAATATACTTATGATTTTTCTTTCAGTTTTTCCCATGTTTTTGCACCTAAAGCTTCAGCAAAATGTTCATCAATTGATTCAGCTATATGAAAAAGAAAATGTCATGATTATTCATTTTGATTTTATTTTATATGTTAAATTGATGACCAATAAACCAACGTCCTCTATTTGAAATTTTCTGATCAGACAGATTTTCTATTCCATATTATCTTCTTGTTCTTGTTCATCTTGAGTATCTTCTCTTTTCTTCTATTCTAAAAACTCACAATGAACAATATGTTAAAAAAAGTTTTTTTTATTATTCTGTTTTTTTTAGATATTTCATTTAATTGTTAACTATCTAATAATGATGACTCAAGTTGATCCTGACGCAACGGTAAATTTGAGTATGTGCCTAATTCGACTTGTTATATAAACGCACATTAAAAAAAGAAAAACCAGTACCTATTTCCAGGAATAGATTTAGTTTTAGAATAGTTTTCAGACACATTCTCCTCACCTATATTTTGCTTCCCCCCTTCCCGTCACTTGCATTTTGTCTCTCCCACCCCTTTCACCCACACTATGCTACTCCCCTCCTCTCATTCACCTCTTGCTCATATATATGAATCATATACATCTTAGAGTGAAACTAAAACTAAATCTATTCCTAAATTTTACCATTTATTTTCGAATTAGGAGTGTATATCTGGATGCCCACTTATATTATAATTCGAATTAGGCATCTTATGACAGATGTCTAATATTTTCTTTCGATCCTTTGATTTACTGATTTTTTTCTTGAAAATTTCTGTTCCATATAAATTCATAAAATATAAATATTCAATTACATCAGTAATATATCTCATTATCTATTCAAATTCAATATGTATTTAACAAAAGACTAAAATTAAAAATCTTATTTATTATTTTGTCATTAATTCGAATTCTTTTTATTTTTATTCAAAGAAAACTGATACAAATATGGACAAACAATCTACAACTGAGCTTAATGACACAAATATTTACAAATTGCTACTTGCACTAACCTCTATTGTAACTTCAATTAGTGAATTTAAAGTTGCCATCTATTTTATGGTAAATAACAAGGACTATATTTCTCTTTCAAAAATTGTATGTAGTATATCACTCTGATATGGAAGTTATTGAACAAAAAGAAAATATTGAGAATAGAGTAGAGGAAAACTTCTTTAATTGAAAATAAAGATAAAGAAGTAAGTAAGTAAGTAGGTAAGAGTGGAAGCAACAAAGATTTTTAACATCGAGAGATATCACGTATTTTTCATTCGGAAAAAAGTCGTTCGTTTAATTGTTTTTTATTGAATAAGTATTATATGATAATTATCAGATTTATGCACTGAAAAGCTAATCTAATTCGAAAGAATTTTTTAAAATCTATTTTCATTATATAGACAATTGGTTCTACAAGTCCAAAAATTTTCTGGTTTATGCTATTGGGTGTAGGTCTTATTTGTCTTAGTATTATACTGATGATCTTTGGTTTATTAGTATTAATTTCATTTATTGGTTGGGTATACAAGTGTTGTAAGAAGAAATCGTTTTCTAAAGAAAAGACACAGGCAAGACTCAATATTAATCGAATATTTTCTTTTTATTATGTTCAAATTCAGTTACTGTAAAGAATTTTTCTTTATAAAAATCTCTTTATCTAGAGTAGTTTTATCGACAAGAGATTTGTTTTGTTTCTAAAATGAAAAATAATACAAAGATTAAGTTTGAGAGATATTGTCTAAGCAAAATATCTGACTTTCTCACAAATTCCAATAAAACTTTATTTGATAAAACGAAAAATCAATAGATTCGATTATTTAGAGAGTTGTTTATAACTAAATAAAATAATATCAATAAAAATAATTTGTGGATTTATGAAGAAATTTATTTGTAAATCGATATAAAACATGTTTAGTATTAATAATAGTAAATATCACAATATCCTTAATACTTTTTCATTAGTTTCTTAGATATGTCAGTTTTTTTAAAGTTTGTACATCTATATTTACAATTCTATATATAGAATTATTTTTCATATAGATAAAGAATAACCAATGTAAAAATCAATCATTAATTAAATGGAATTTAAAATTTATTCATCTTCATAAACAATTCTTATTGTGGTTTCATCGTCAAAATCAACAAGAAGAATTTATTGTATAAATTTGTATAAATTAACGTATATATTTATCTTTCTTTATTGAAAGATTATTCATTTATATGAAAATTTCATAAAATATTTTGTACATTTATTTCTGCCAACTTTAATCTCAGTTAATGTTTATTTTGTTAAATATCATTGTTGTTAAAATAGCTTTTATAATGTAAATGTATTATTTGATGTTTTGCTTTTTATTATATTGTACATGAAATAAAACAAAATTCATTTGAAAGTGTTCCGAGGTTCTTCGATGCGGAGACTTCGAATCTGAGGTCTGTTGGGTGACCAAGGTGAGGGTAGGGGCGAAGAGGATTCAAAGGTCAAAAAAAAACATCGAAAATCAATTTTTTACGGTTTTCATTTGTTGTTCCAGTAAATGTGAAGAAAATGGATTTTTACGAGAAAGAGCTAAGCGAGTCCTCGAACGAGCATTATTTGTTCAATTATTTGCATATAAAAACAAAGTGATAGAGAAAGAATTAATTAAATTATTTAGTTGAAATCTTTTTTTATTTAATTATCGAAAAAAGAAAAAAAGTTTGAATTCAGATATCCGAATATTATAAAGTGAGTCGGTGTTAGAAGTATTGTTCTCTATCGTATGTTGTTTATTGTTGAATCAACGAAAAAAATAAACAAACAACTGGATATATATATATGTATACACTATACGAAAAATAGAAAAGAAAGGTGAATCATAAAGAGAAGAATGGAAAGAACGAAAAAGAAGATATATATGATCCTATGTATCATAGATCATAACAATCTGAATACGTTTTGTGTAAAATCAAAGAGAGGAAGAAAGAGAGAGAGAACTTTTAGTTTATATACCACGTTGCTCTCATAAGCTACGAATATACTTTCTAGTTGATTTTCGTTTATCTCGGGTCAACTAGCGGATATAAAAATACCCAATTTTTCAGTAATAGTAAAGAAAAGTTCATTCATTTACTATAATAACATGTCTAGTGAACCAATTCGTGATGCTGCTATTCTTGAATGTGGTAATTGTATAATGGATACTTGTGTTGCTCAAGAACGAAAAATTATTAGAAAAAAAGCACAAATAATGGAAATTATTTTTAAATCATTTGAATTAGTAAGATATATGCTTTTGAAATATTTGAATGATCTTTATATTATTTCTCATAGATTTCCATCATTGGATTTATCATGGGGCAATTAATAATACATTTTAATTAGGTCTTAGATAAAACTGATTCATGTGAGAATGAATGGGTAATTTACCAACATATTTATCATCAAAGCTCGTCATTCACGTTTTTACTAATGTACAGAGTGAAAATAATTAGCCGATTTGTGTTCCTCCTGAAGAATATCAACACCTGCAATATGCAAATATTCTTCAGAAAGGTAAGAAAAATCTCTTTTGATCCTGTTGAAATCATTTTTTTTCTAGGAACAATCGGATCGAATGATCTTCGGTGCGATTTTTGCTTGTTTATGTACATGGGGGTTATTTATTAACAGCAAAGAAATAACCTCATTTTATACGTTGCATGTAAGTATCTCTTTATTTATCTTATCTGAGCGAAATTTCATAGTAATAATGAAATTGTTTTATAGGCTTTTTATGTTGTACTGGGCCTGATACTTTATCTGTTAGGATATATCAGCATGAAATTGATCATTGTTGATATATTACCTACAGTTGAAGAACAAAATCTTCAACAGCAACAATCGTTGGAAGAAACATTTGTTTAGTTTTTTTTTTGTAGTTTTTTTTGTAGTTTTTTTGTTGTTTATCTCGATTTGTTGAACAAAAACAATCGATTATTTTTTTTGAAAAATAAAAATATATTTTCTTTTATTTTATTTCTAGATAACTAACTCTCCGTATCGAAATACCTCTAGAAATATTTTTTTCTAAAAGTTGATTTTCGATGTTTTTTTGACCCTGCGGGCAGACTAGCAATCAAGCAATTTGTTTACTGGACTCTTCTCTACAAGAACGAGAATAAGTAATTGACAAATAGAATTGAAATTTTCTTGATGAATTCCAATTTCAATTAAATATTCATTTAATAATGATAGAATTTCACATGAGTTTTGATTACGAGAAGAATGCTGAACTAATATTAAATATTTAATTATTGATAATGAACAAGATCTTTGTTTATAAAGATATTTTAAAAGATTAGAAAACCCTAAATCAATAGAGGATGATGATGATGCAGGTATTTCAATAACTGAATGAAATGCTAAACATAATTGATTAACTAATAATAATAATGATGATGATTGATCCTCAGATAGAATAATTGAATATAATGAATTTATTAAATAATTAACAATAGATGTTGATGATAATAAAGGTTTAACATTAGATAAAGAATTGTAAGATCAAAGAAAATAAATAAAAAATGTTCATTCACTCATTAATGATAATGAACTAAAATAGTTGGCAAAAATTATTTATTTTATAATTTTAGAGATTTTTATTTATTTAACAAACTTATTTAAATTATTTTGATCTTTTGTAAGATTAATAATTGAATTTAAAATATCTTTTAAAACAACATCAATATCATATGTAATAAATCGATATATAAATGATATTTCTAATTCAATCATGTCTGGTGGATTTGTGCAACCACCTAATTGTACTGATTTTATGATTAATAGAAGAAACAATTTTGATAATAGTAAACACTATTCTATAATTCAATTAATACATATAATCAACATTATGGGAATTATTTGCAAGCATGCAATCTATAGAACTAACACATGATTTGTTCTGAAATGAATAAAGAAGATCTATTCTTATCCGAAATTTAAACTGTCTCTTTTCAGCTCATCATCGATCACATCTAAATACTGGCAAATGTGATTATTTATGTCAATCTTCACTCTATCAACCAGATTTTCTTGGGCGACCACCTCCAGGTCAAATAATAAATACATCGCCATTATTAAATTTTTCTGCGAAACGATCTTCGAAACATAAAACAAAAATAAAATACAATGAAGAACATAATATTATTTCCGAAAATATTAACCAAACATTTTCATCTATTTATTAGATTTATAGTTTTTAAAACAAAAAAAAGAAAATTTTATTTGTCATGTATACATTGACACCGGGTGTCATCAGATATAGAGAGAAATAATAAAAGAACGAGAAGAGATATAATAACAAAACAGAAAAAAAATGCCGCTAGAGATAAATTTGAATGTAAAATATACTTATGATTTTTCTTTCAGTTTTTCCCATGTTTTTGCACCTAGAGCTTTAGCAAAATGATCATCAACAACTGATTCAGTTAGTGATGATGCATTATCTTCATTCGATGGTGTTGATAATGGCCAAAATCTACCGAGTGATCGAGCGAAATGTTCATCAATCGATTCAGCTATATGAAAAAGAATACAATAAGAATATATATATATATATTGTTTTTTTTTGGTCATACCTGGAGTACGATCAATTGGTGAACTATTTGATGATGAATTATCTGGTGTTAAAAATCCGCCATTTAATTTATCATAATTATAACCGAGAGATTTTCGAAAATGTTCATCAACTGTTACATCTGTTCTTTTATGTTTGTCTATAAATATATTTAATAAAAAAAATTATTTCAACGAAAAATTAATGAAATAATTTACCTTCGACAACTGTATAATTACATGGTTGATTTTGTTGATGTTGATCTACTAATGTTCGATAATTATCAAGAAATTGTTGAGCAAGAACTTTTTGTGCCATAAGATATTCAAAATTTGATGGCGGATATAAATTTTGATGTTGAGCATTAGGTGAACTAGCATGTAAATATGCATATTGTTGACGTAATAATTCTATATGTGGCGATGATGGTGGTGTTGTTGTAGTAATCATCGGTGGGAGATGAATTTGCAGTGGATCTTCTTGTGGATACGACCTAGAATACGAACGCAAAAAACAGATTTATATTTTATACTTTTACTTTATAAATATGTACTGAAACTTACTGTTTTATCGATGATGGCGAATGATTTGAATAATTTTCATCTCGATCACCATTTGTACTATTAACATTATTCGTGGATGTATCAATAACATATGCTCGACGTTTTTTTAATGGAAGATTTTTTGGTACCTGATTTTGATTGCACATTAAATTGTTGCTATGATTATTTCCGTTCATTGTCAAATTCGTCTACAAAAAATTCTAAAACAAGAAGGAAGAAAAAAACGAATGTAATATTTTTAATCGAACTTCTTATATATGTATGTTTGTCTTCTCTATTCGTTCATTTAGAAAAGAAAAGTTGTGAAAAACGAACATATGGTGAGAATATGCACAGATTGTATCTACATCATTGAAATAATTCTCATTCCTAACATAGTTTAGCCGGAGGATAGATGGCCATGTATATCATTCGTTCTCTTTTTCTTATATAGAAAACAATTTAGATATAAACGCAAAAGAAACTATTACGTATTCATCTCACTAACAGAATGATATGAGAACAAAAAAAACTAAGAATAAAAATTTTCGAGACTTTTTACTTCAATAATACTAGAATGAAGTTACTTAACTAGTGATTACCTTACGTCCTCTTTCAACTATGCGCGCATAGAAAAGGTTTTTTTTTTCGGAGCGTCATCATCGTTCTGCTTCTGTTCTTTTTCTTTCTCTCATTTTATATGTGTACTTTAGACGATAAACGCACAATAAATACTACCATGGCACATACAGTCAAATAAAAAAAATGCATACAAACATCAACAAAGCAAAAACATTCGAATGCTATTGATTCCAACAATATGTAATGGCGGACCTTTATCTGCACTGAATATTGCAAAAAAAATATGGAAGAAGAAAAGAAAAATAAGAATCGATTAGAAAGTTTGTTATTTGCCATTTGATTCACTATGACTGTTATCAAACAACGCATTTATTCGAGAAAAAAAATACAACAAAAAATCTTTCGAATATAATGACGCATAAAACATTCTTCGAATACAAATGTAATATGACGTCTATTTATGTAGAATAACAAAAAAAAGCGAAAAAATTCTTGACATGAAATTCTAAAAATAAATCCCCCACTTGTTTGATCTTTTTTATAAAGATAATATTTCAATAATTATATAAATATTAACAAAACTATTTTAAGATTTTTTTCTTTGAAAGAAAAATATTCTTACCGTTGCTTATTTTTGTGTGTGTGTGTGTGCGTGTTTTTTATTTTGGTTGATTAGACGTTAGACTAAACGACAGTCTATATATATACATATATATAACTGCAAGGAATTTATTAACATTATAGCTGATTTTACGCATGTCAATCGACTATTAACTTTATATGTTATATACTTGTCATAAAAAGAAGAAAAATAGTTTCATTTTTCGCACTTGTTGTCAGTCATAAGTATGTCTTTCATTAAAATTTCAAGACTGACGCTGAATCTTATCAATTATATGCGTGCATTGCATTGCATAGAAAACGAAATAACGTCTGATAAGTTTTATTTATTTTCTTTAGCAATACGCTAATAAAAATTAATTAAGTTATTAATAACAAAAATCAGCATGTAAAACATATGTATGTGTTCATTATTTATAAATAAGAAAAAAAAATGCATGACAAATGAAGGTATGTTATATGAAGAATAAGCGAATAAAAAAGATGTCAATTATGCAATGGCTAGAAAATAAGTCTGTTCATTTATCATTGTTTCCATTTTTTATTAATTCTTATTCTTTTCTTTTTTCGTCAAATTTTACTATATACGAATAAATATATTAGAAAAAAAAAATTCGCCAGTCAAGAAGTCGACAGCTGATTGAATAAGATGAAATATGTTGATTAAACAAACTAATTGCTTGGATGAAGTAAACAAATCATTACATACATCAACATGAATATTGATGTAAATAAAAAAACTAAACTTGAAGCGATCTACAGTAGAAAGAATATATATATATTTCTGATCATTATTTGTATTTACAAACCTAATAGAAATTGATCCTTCTTCGCTATCTTGACCCTATAGAGAAAAATTATTTAAGCATAAATAGGAACTCTATTGATAGAAATAACTAACCAAATATTTGATGATATCATTGATAAGTGCTATTGGAAATGGAATTTTTGCTTTTCTTAATCCATCAAGAAATTGTTCGTAAGTAATTGATGTTGCTGTCGTAGTCATATCTTCACTTGGACTGAATATATCAGGTAAATTTATTTCATTTTCGATGGAATATGCACGTATTAAATTTCGAAGATTATTTGTAAAATATTCTATTGTTTGTCTAACGGGTCCAACATAAACTTTTAATTTCGGATGATTTACAAATAATAAATGACATTTCTCTATTAACTTATAATCTGTCATTATACCCTATAAGAAAATATTTTAATAATTAGAAAAAAAAATCAAATAAAATCAAATCATACAGTTAGATCTAATTCTTCTAATGTAATATTTTCTACTTTAGATAAAGCTTCTAATATAATCGGTAAGCAACGTTGATCAATATGATCTTCTCCTAACTAAAACAAAATCTAATAGATAAATTAAACTAATTATAAAAAATACTCGAAATATTTTTAATGATTGATTTGTAGCAGCAGCAACAAGCATATCATATAATTGACAATCTTTACCAGTAATTAATCTATCTGGTTTATATTTATCTGTTCCTTCGTGTCTACATACAAAATGACTACCACGTAAATTTAATTCAGTTAATGCTGAATTAGATGATAGAGAACTTGTTATAGATCCGAGTGTATCATTTGAAAAACCATTATGTGATAAATCAAGTGATTCTAATCGATTATTTTCACCAATTGCTTTAGCCATTTCTTTCGCAGCTGATAAACGAATACTACACCAACTAGCATCAAATTTAGCTAAGAGATGATTTTCACCTAGCCAATTAGCAACAAATTTTCCACCTTCTTCATCCAATTCATTATGACTTATATTAAGATTTCTAAGATATGAAAGATCCTACAAAAAAAAGAAATTGATTTTATTTTTTCAATCGAAGAAAAAAAATCCTTTACCTCTAATTTTGAAAGTAAAAGCATAATATCATTAGAAGTTAATCCATTTCCTATATAAAATAATATAGTATTGAAATCAACATTAATTTCTATTACAAACCAGCTACATTCAATGTTTTCAATTGACTACAATTAGAAACAGCAGTTGCTACTTTTCGACTACCTTTTGTACCAAGATCATTAAATGAAAGATCCTAAATACAGACTGTATTTTTTTTTTAATTTTTAAGTAAATGCTACGTACATATTCTTCAATATATGCATTTTCTGTAATAATTTGATAGATATGTGACATTCCCGCACTACCAATATTATTTCCCGATAAATTTAATGATATAACTGTTGTATTACGCTAAATACATATATTGTAAAAAACATAATTTTAAATGAGTAAAAAAACGACACTTACAATAAGACCAACTACTAATGGTACACATCCTCTTGGTCCTAGTCCATAGTTTCCTAAATTAATTTTTGTTGTATTTAATGATCGTAAAATAATTGAACATGGACAAATATTTAAACGTTTACATATTTCATCATATAATTGTACACATGATTTATCTGATTGTGAAATATTATCTATTCAAAACATAATTAAATATTATCCGATTAAATAATTATTTTATTTTACCTTTTTCAATCTCTTCAGTTAATCCTTCATCCCATCCTTCAACATCATAATCGATTGTTACTGGTAATGTTACTTTTTTTTCACTTTGTGAACTTACTACTCTCTCTTTTTTTGCACTTTCTGATTCTCTTGTCGGAGGGCGCATATCAAATGTACTCGACCGTTGTGGTGGTCTACTTGATTGTGCTAAACGTGTATAAGAATTATCAATAAGAGATAGTTTTCGTGATTCAATTATAGATTCAACAACTGGATCACGTTTCATTACAACATTATTTGAATTTGATAAGGATTCACGTGGTTGATTGATTCGTACACGTTTAGCATCACTACGTAATGCAGTACTTGATGTTTTTAAATTTGTTGGTAGATTCGATTGTTTTAAATTAGTTAAATCAGCAGACGTTTTTTCATCATTTTCATCAGTAATAACTGCTGCTGGTAATTCCTCTAATTCATCTTCTTCTCTAACAGATGCTCCATCACTTCCTTCTAATGTTGGTTTCGTAATAGTTTCATTTATTTCCTAATTATATTAACTAGAGATATGTTATATAGAAAATTATTTTTGTTTTACCTCAGTTGAAAGCATTGTAAACGTATTTCTGTTCTCTCTTTATAATTCGATGTTTTTCATTTATTCGAACTACATCAATAGTGTTTGTATGTATTGCATCCATAGAAATTATTATTATCGTTAGTTTGCTCTTTGCTTAAAGCGGAATAAACAATTTGTGTGAAACAATGTTGATCTATGATCGATGTTTGTCTTACAGTTTTTTTTTTATTGAGAAAAATAAAACGATTGTATTTAATATTTTTTCAAAAAAATTTCTTTTAATCGAAGAAAAGAATAGAATATTTTTTTGTGATTGCTACAACAAATTGTTTTTTAACCTTAACATTCTATCCGATCAAAAGAGAAAATATGTTTAGATATTTTTTTATTATGAATATATTAACAAAAAATATTGCTTATGAAAATTAAAATTACAAAGAAAAAAAATTAATGAAGTTTTCTAATTGTAGCTTGTCCAGATCGACCAGTTATAATAGGTTGTGGCATTGTAATATTCATTTGATTTTCTTGATTCAATAAAGATGAATTTACAATAGATGGATGAAGACGACGTAGGCCAGAATAAATTTCTTCTTGAAATAAAGATAATTTTTTTGGTTCATCAATAAGACGTAAAGATTTATGTTGATATAAACGTATAAGTAATTGTGTTGATGAGTCTGTTGAATCTTGTAAACGATCAATAAGTTTAAGTAATACTTGTTCAATAGTAATATTATGTGTTAAATTACATTGAAGTGATGCTAAACATCGACGACGAACAGGTGTTGAAGGTCGAATTTTGTTTTTTGTAATAACAATTGGAGATAAGATAATGGTTGACATGATTCAAATAAGATAATATCGTATACTGCTGATGGATATACTATTTATATATGTATTGATATTCATATCAAAGATAATTGATTTAATAGACAGTCTAATTGATGCAAATATTTTGTTGATTGATACGATGAAGTAAATAGAAATATAGTTAAATCAATTTTATCGCTTGATTGTTATAGAGAGAGAAAAAAACAAAAGAAAGAATTAATTCGATTTGTTTTAAAGAGATTTTTGTCTTAGTAAATAGAATTTAAAAGAAATAGATATTTACTTAGGTTTCTCTCCTTTTCCGTTTTTATGAACCAAAAAAAAATGTCTTTATGCTGAGAAAAAAGCATTGAAATTGATTGTGAAGAGAATCTTGATCAATAAGATGATGCTAACGAATAAATAATTTAATTCCTGATTATTATGTATGTTACTTCTATTCAACTATTCACAACATTCTAGATAAAGCAAGAAAAGGATACACTTCTTTTTCCTTTTCCTCTCGACTGAAAGTTTGATCTAATAAAAGAAGGATTAGATCGATTGTAATGAATGGTTGGGTGATGATCATATCCTTAGAGTTGTGAGCAACAAAGTAACTACATTGAGATAATCTTTTCTCGAAAGACAGAAGAAGAAGAAGGACAAAATTGAGACGAAGACGACAAGAATTTTTACAAATATAACAAGTTAACTACTGGCAGCCATCATTATCTTCAAAAACAAGGCAAGAAAATATAGATGACTAAAAGAAATGAAGAAAGAACAATTGAGAGAAATTAACCAATTATCTAAGAAAGTCTTATCCATAAAAGTTTCTATCGTTCTCTTGAATACTTTTTATATTAGCTTGTGTTAGTCTATACAACGACTACACTTGTCTATTTAACCGACCGTAAAATAATATATAGATATAGATGGCAAAATCCCTTGACATGAGGTTATGACAATATTTGATAGAGCGGAAGTTAACAGGGGAATACATATGTGTTAACAACTGTTTAGAATTTTAATAAGGTGAGACTTATAAAAATAGGAAGAACAACGATCAAATTCGGTGTTCGTGTAAATATCAACGATCTTTATAGAACATGCATGATACATCATTGATCGATGGTGAACATGGTGGTGGTGGTGCAATGACTACTGGATATACTTATACTGCACAATATGGTGTTCGACGAGCATCAAATCGAACTGATGTTTATCGAACACAATTCGGTTCGATGAGTGCTGAAGATTATCTTACTCCAATGCTACCATCATCAACTCAACGAATTGATGGCAATGTTGCTCGACGTCTATCTAGATATTCATTTATCATTCCACCTCGTTTATTCGTACATCGAGGAACAGATGGTATGTTAAAAAGAAAAATATTTTCGTTTTTTTAAAGTTTTTATTGATATTCTAAATCCATTCGTAATTAAATGAAAAGCGATAATTTAATTGATAGTTCATGTGATAAATACAAGCATGATATGATTAATCTTGTGCAAATAACAACATATAAATAGTAATTGAATATATATAGCTATGATCTTTTATCGCGCTTTTTTTTATTATGCACGAACATTTTCAGTTAATTTTACGGGCTAACGCATACATCATGATAGAAAGCTAATAATAGCCGAAGACACAAGGACAAATCGAACTTATCCTTAATATAAAATCATTTTTGCCCTATTTCTCGCTTTCATGTTTCTTCTTTACCTTAATTACAATATGATAGAGTAGAAACAATCTAATAATTACAACACGATGGTGATAATGATATTCATTCGGGAATGGCATTTGCTGCTATAATTTCTGACAAACTTTCTCTCGCTCCGCATCTTCTTCTTGTCCTCTCTGTCTCTCTTTCTCTCTCTCTCTTCTTGTACATATATGTAGTTCAGCATACTAAAGCAAGATTTACAGATGGAAAAAGAGTGTATTATATATCTGTCCCATTCGATGAGAGAGAATATGTGCACGTTTCGCCAATTATAACACAAGATCATTGATATTAGAAGAGCATTTACACGACATTTTTCGCTTATATTTGATAACGATGAAACAACAAATGGATCAGTAAGAAAAAAAAAACTAGACGAAGAAAAACATTCTTAATAATGGTGAGAAATCGTAATGAAGAGCGTGATGATTATCATAGTTCAGTACGTCTTAATCGTCAAGATGTTCAACAACATTCTACAACACAACGGACACGACATATATCACCATCGAGACATAATCTAGATCAACATACTCTATTAACAACTCATATGCATTCGTTAGGTTATGGTAAATATTTCTATTTCTTTACTAATTTATTCATTCAACTGAATATAAATAATAATAGATATAAAAAGATAATAAGAAATAGCTAATTGACAATTTTCTAGTTGAATTGTTTTTCTTATTAGTTTATATCGAAGAATAGTCTATATATGTGATTTTTTTTATTATAACTATAGAAATTTTGTATTCAGAAAGAAAGAACGAAAGAATATATATGTATCTACAATATAAGAAGACAATGAATTCAATACATTTCTTGTTTTAGATCTCAAAAGCAAAACTGAGCAATCAGGTTATTTTTTTGGTATACTTATTGTACTTAGTTATATACTTGTCATTGTTACATTTCCATTATCATTATGTTTTTGTTTAAAAGTATGTATATTTATTAACGAGAAAATTTATCTTTTTTTTTTGATTTTAAAATATATATTCAAGGTTGTACAAGAATATGAACGAGCTGTTATATTTCGACTTGGCCGGATTTTAGCAGATGGAGCACGTGGTACGTAAGCTATAAAAATAATGATATGTCATTACAGTGTCATCTAAGCTGAAAGATGATAATTAATAACAAAAAAAAGAAGAAGAAGGAAACCATCTGGAGAACAATATTCTAAGATTGAAATCAAGATCTAGACTAAGAAATATTCCAAATGTCAATCATATTCATTTACCAGATTTGAATCTTAATCAATCAATTTTCTCAAAACTATTATATAGATATAATATATAATTCACATTAGAACATTATTATTATTATATAATCAGTATTAAATTAGATAACAGATGTCACGTATACATTACGATAAGAACAGATATCTATATAATAACATATGTTTGATTACTTATTACTAAGATCATTAGAGAAGATATCAATAACTATTTAATACAGTACTTTATATGTATTATATACATTGTATTGTATTTAGGACCAGGCCTCTTTTTTATACTACCATGTATTGATACATACAGTAAAGTTGATCTTCGAACAGTTACTTTCGATGTTCCACCACAGGAAATTTTAACAAGAGATAGTGTAACAGTAGCAGTTGATGCTGTTGTTTATTTTCGAATATTTAACGCTGTTATTTCAATAACAAATGTTGAAGATGCAGCTAAATCAACAAAACTTTTAGCAGCAACAACACTTCGAAATGTAAGTAAAATAGATTTTTCTTTTGTATTTTCTTAACCATATTTTTTTTTGTTCATTATAGGTTCTAGGTACTAAAACACTTCATGAGATTCTTGCAGAACGTGACAAAATTGATACTGTTATTCAGGTCTGTATATATATAAATTATGATTTATTGTATAAAAATATATTTCATTATTTTCAAATAGACTAGTCTTGATGAAGCAACTGATCCATGGGGTGTTAAAGTTGAACGTGTCGAAGTAAAAGATGTTCGTTTACCAGTAGCATTACAAAAAGCGATGGCTGCTGAAGCTGAAGCTTCTCGAGATGCTCGTGCAAAAATTATTGCAGCTGAAGGTGAAATGAAAGCAAGTCGAGGTTTAAAAGAAGCAGCTGATATTATTAGTGAATCACCAATAGCTATGCAATTACGATATTTACAAACATTAACACAAATTGCTACTGAACGAAATTCAACAATTGTCTTTCCTATTCCTGTTGAACTATTACAGGCTGTATCATTGTATAAACGATAATTTTGTTTCAATTAATTCTTTCTCAGTCATAATAAAATAAACTATATCTTTTTATATCGTATCTAAAGAAAATAAAATGTTTTGACAAGATACAATATCATGTATATATTTTTATATTATTTCACTATTTTTATTTTTTGAAGTGTATCTAATAGGCGATAGATATTATTGTGTATACAAAAAAATAACTATTCCAGTTGGTGTTGACTAATACTTTGTTTATGATAGACAAGAATCTTTTAACGAAAATTTGTATCCTTGATATCGACAATGACATACGAAAAATGTGAATCATGAAGTATATGAAAAGTTTAATGGTTACATTATATATTTCAATTATATTGATTATAGTTAATTAACTCATGTCAAATACATCATGATAAATATATCAAACGGCATTCATGTTAGAATGATAGATAGATGTAAGAAAATAACCGGAGGTGATGTATTTGAATGATTATCAGGGAAATGTTCCAGGGACTAACGAGCGGCTTTTCCTTGATAGAGAATTTTGTAAACGTAGAAGAAATAAATAGTTTTTTATGGTCATTCGAAATGATATATTGTACCATATATGTCGTAATGTCTGAAATGAAATAATACTGTTGTATGTAATGTCGGAAGTAGTTCTTCTCATGGGAAAGTATATCACAACAAATATCCTTGAGTTCTCAAGAACAAATATACAATCACAACAGTTAATAAATCAATAATATCAATTTTAGAAAATGTGATGCATATACTTATTATTTATGTTACACATATATAATTGATTAGTATCGATATATCAATGAAAAGTACTGTTTGCTATGGGTCACAGCCTTTTCGATATTATCTACTCTCTAAAATGCATCATGAACTTAATTTTGAAAGAGTTCGATTGCACACATAAATTTAATTTTAAATCATTTTTTCTTTTAATAGAACAATATCTCAAATATTAATTCATTGCAATCTGATTTTTTTAAATAAAGTATCATTTATAACGAAATATTGCATTGGCAGAGACGGAAAATTGAATCGTATGTTCAAGGAAAAGTTTAAATGATAGAATATCATGAAAACTTTTCCTTAATTATCTCATTTCGTAACCTGAGATTTTATTTATTTAAGTATACTAATAAGAATAAAGAAAGAATTAAAAAAAGAAGCATTGTCAACTATTTGATCTTGTGCATTTTTGTTTTAATCATCGCATTTACAACCTGAACAACTACAATGAGCACATGAGCATGATGGATCACAGCTGGATTTTTCATCTACAAAGAACAAAAAAAATATAACTTAAGAATGATATTGTAATAATACATACGAGAACATGATTTACAATCACATTTGCATGAACAACTATCTTCACAATCACATACGATACCTTTACAATTAGCAACAGGTCCAGATGCTCTAGCTAAATACAAAATGAAGATGAATGAAATAATATGTTGATAAGAGTAAAATGATACTTACATTTACATTGACATAATTTCGGCATATTGTTTGTTAATGTTGAGAATAATGGCAATAAGTAATGATACTGAGGAATATAGAATTGAATGTATGGGAAGTGCCTATTTATACGTATGGAAGTTGTTTACAAACTGTATTTTTATATGGGGGTGTAGTTTGCGTTATTGAGCAGCACCCCCTTTAGGAATAACCTTCACGCTTATTTTAGTACGTCTGATCAGCATTATTATAGTTATTGAAATCGAGATAAATATGAATTAGTAAAGAATCGGGAAAGGGGGGGGGGCGGAGGAGGTAAGTGTAATTATAGAAAGAAAAGAACGAAAAAAGTGTTTCGTACCTGTTGATGTCATTGACACATATCATATAGTTTTGATATCTTTTTTCACTTGTTTTCGTTCTGCAAAGAAGTACTTGTTTTGACATACAAAATACGTAGCGCAGTTATGCTATTTATGGAATACTTCATTTGATTCTATTGATCTGTTATTGATAATATTTTCATCAAATGCTAATTAGTTACTAAAAACTACAGGTTATACTCAATTAAAAAAGAAAGGCTTACCATGATTCGATAAACATCAAGGTTATTCCTAAAGGGGGTCCTGTTCAATAACACAGGCTACACCCCCATGTAAAAATACAGTTTGTAAACAACTTCCATACGTATAAATAGGCACTTCCCATACATTCGATTTTATATTCCTCAGTATCATTACTTATTATCATTATTCTCAACATTAACAAACAATATGCCGAAATTATGCCAATGTAAATGTAAGTACAGTTTTACTCTTGCCAACATATTATTTCATACATCTTCATTTTACATTTAGCTAGAGCATCTGGACCTGTTGCTAATTGTAAAGGTAGCGTATGTGATTGCGAAGATAGTTGTTCATGCAAATGTGATTGTAAATCATGTTGTCGTATGTACTATTACAATACCATTCTTAAGTTATATTTTTTTTTGTTGTTTTTAGATGAAAAATGTAGCTGTGATCCATCATGTTCATGTGCTCATTGTAGTTGTTCAGGTTGTAAATGCGATGATTAAAACAAAAATGCACAAGATCAAATAATAGACAATGCTTCTTTTTTTAATTCTTATTAGTATACTTAAATAAATAAAATTTCATGTTATCGAAGCAGATTACACAGCAAATATTCTTATGACACTCTATGGTTAAAAAACAAATCAACGAATATTATATTTTAATACATTCACTTTCTATTTACTTTTATCAGCTACAGAGAAAGCTCATTTTAGAAAATCACCAATTAGATGTGGTATTTGTTTATATAAGGATAATCAATGGTTAGAACTACATACTATTTAATCTGACTTTGTAATACAGTTCTTTTATCAAATAGATTGTTTCTCTTATAGTAGCTAGTTCATTTTATTTTAAATTTATATTAAGAGAAACACTGTTGATTCTACACGAATGTGTGTACTTTCGATAACGATAAATCTAAGAATAATGAAAGTTTCTTTCTAAATCGTAATAAATAATTGATTTTTGTATTACATCATTATATGTAGTACGTTATGTATTGAACGCCATTAACTACCTTCTGCCATCTTTATTTATTAATATTTATCAACATTTTTTTCCTCTCCGGTTGCTGCTCTTAACGGCACAACATGCAAAATGAAAGGTGGCATTTCTTTGTGGTTTTTTATTTTATTTTTATCATATAATGGCAACTGCATCATGTAAACGAGTTGTCTTTGATAGAAACGAATCTTCAAAATGTACTCATCGTATTCCACATTTAATCTATGATGAACCATATATATTTCAAGTTCGAAGTCAGCGTACACGTTCATTACATAAACGTCCATATGATGATTGTTTAAAAGCAACTAAACAACAACAACGATTATCTACAGCGAATATTCAATATGAAAAGAGATGTTCTCGTTTACCACCTAGACCTATTGATTTCGAACAAATGAATCGACCAAAAACTGCTCCATTAAATCGAAAAGTAAACGATTGTAATTGGGATAATTTTATGACAAGAAAAAGTAAATTTGGTAAGTATAAAATATTTTTTTAATTTCTAAATAATTTAATTTATTAATATAATTTCAGCAATTAAAACACCATATGCTCTATGTAATTTATCAACTAAACAAGAAGAATTAGAAAATCGTCCACCATTTATGAACTATGGTGGACGTTCTAATGATAAACAATGTGGACAAAAGCGAACATTTAATTCACTAGCTATACATGTATGTTTAATAGAATAATATATATTTCAAATAACAAAACAAAATTTTATTTTAGCAACTTAAACATCATGAAGTTGATAATGAACGTTTGAGAAGTTTACTTCGTGAACGACATCTTCATCATCAAGCGGAAAATTATTTTCGTGAGATGGAAAAACGAAAAGATCATAAATAAGGCTATAGTTTTTTTAACAGTGAATTTGTAAATTCTATAGTTTTAAATAAATAAATATATATGTATTTTTTGCTTCTTCTTTACATAAAATATATAAATACATGAATTAGCCATGATACTACAAAAAGTAACAAGAAAAACAGCAACAATAAGATTAATTGTCTCCAAAACTTTTAGCTAATATTTGTAAATTTTCTATTTCATCATTTTGTGCTGTTGTAAATCGTTCTGCTAATTTCCAAATCGTTACTGCACCTGCACTATCTCCACATGCTAAAGTATTGGATCTAAAAGAAAATATTTCTTTGAAAAAATAGTTTTCGAAAATTTCTATTTCTTACGTTTTATGATTAAATTCTAAACAAATAATTGATGATCGTTTATCTGATGATGGTAATTCTTGTACAGGTATTGATGATAGAAGATCAGTTGATGCTCCTTCTTCTGGTTCAAGATCATAGATCAATGTTCTACCATGTTCACTACCTGCTGCTAAAAGTAAAGGACGTGATGGTGACCAACGACAAGTAAAAATTGCGCCTTGTGCTGGTGCAAAACAACGTCCATAATTTGGCTAAATAATTTCATATTTGAATTTTTCTTATGAAATAAATATTTTTTCTTACAAAAAGTTGAGAATAAATTCGAATTTGTCCATCATGTGCACTTGTAAGAAATAAATGCCGATTGAAAGGAGAAAAATTAACAGAATATATTGGACTATCATGTGATTGATATGCCATTGTAATTGGATTTTTAGGTTGAATTGTCATATCAGCAAGACCTTGTTCACCTATGATAATAAATATATATATATAATATAAATCACATATATATATTAACTTACGTGATTGAACAGTTGATACTGAATTAAGTGAACCTTTATATAAATGTCCTGAATCACAACCAAATACAAATGTTTCAGCATCTTCATTATTAAATGAAACACTTGTAACTAAATTGATTTCAATCTTTATATAATGTATATATATATTAAAATTTGTTATACCTCCCATTGGTTTTCCTGATGATTTACTACTAATTTTAGTTGAAACAAAGTAAGCATCTGTTAATTTTAAATTATTTTTACTAGGTAATGGATTCCATAGAAGAATTCGTCCATCTTGACTAGTTGATACAAGCTATGAAGAATTCATTTTCATTTATAATAAATATTAATTAGTAAGAAAGAATTTTACAATAAATTTTTTCTTCGATAATTTGGGTTCACGAATCCATTGAAGTGATGTTACTGAATCTCGATGTAAATCTTGTCGTTCTAACACACGAGCAATTAATGAATCTTGTTCACGAAAATCCCAAACAAGTATTTCACCTTTAAAAAAAATAACAAAACATATTTCTTAACAACGATAATAATAAACAAACCATTATAAAGACCAGCTGCTACAATACCAGGTCTTTCTGGATGACAAGCAACTGTTGTAACACATGTACTTGTTTCAACAGTCATATCTGGTTTATTTGGATTAATTTTAAATCTTTCAATATTCCATGAACATACAGCACCTTTATGCATACATAAACCTTCATGTGATGTACTTCCATAACCAACAAAAATAGATGATCCATTAGCTGACCATGATAAACTAGTTATTTGAATTTCTTTATCAATTAAAATATCTGGATAAGTTAATGTAAATAATTCTTGAGCAGTATCATCACCGCTATATCTTAATTTAATATGTCCTAAATTATATCAATATACATATATTTTATTTCCTAATGATAATTCAACATACGAAGAATATTAGGACGTTCTGCATTATCTTCAATATAATGTAAAACACGTGGTGCAGTACGTCCAAGAAATTTACTAAGACGACCCATATCAACTTGTATTTCATCCGTAACAGCTTTTTCTCCAAGATCTACTTGAATCTAATTATAATAAAATATATATTCAAATCAAAAAATATATATGTATATTACTTCACGTTCTTTTCGTTTTATACTTTGACATTCAGCATCAGCAAGTTGTACTTCAAATTTAGTTTGTACACTTGCATTCACTGAATGACTAGAATAAACAATTTAATTTATAAAAAAATAATTTATGAAAATTATACAAACACAGGATCTTTTTGAATAACTTCTTTACAAGAAACAATTGGTAATGTTTCATCAGTAAATAAAGCTGGTTTTCGATTTGATTCCGAATCTATTTCGTCTCGATTTGAATTATACATACTGGTAAAAGTAGAAGAAGGAATAAGGAAGAGAATATCTCACCTACTACCATGATTTTTGTTGTTACTTTGACAACATACAGGAATTAATTAGCGAGCGACATCTACTTTCTATTCAATATTTATCAGCGACATTTCAAATACATATGAAGCATCATACAGTATCAATAGCATACCATGAATGATGTGTTTAATTTTCCATATCGGACAAAAATATCTGAATTTAATTTATGCTTTTAATTTGTTTTGATTCATTTAAAAGAGTCTGTCTGTGGCAGTGACACATAACATATTTTATTAGGTTATCGATATGCATTTTTCAGATAATTGTGATACAAAGTATAAGATTGATGAAATATGTCAATTCTATCGAATATGTATACATTAAATTTTCGATAATCTCAATGCAGAAATTTCGTTCTATCACTTAGTATGTACTACAGACGTTTCTATATGATTATCGACTGATACGATCGATATAAAATGTGATATTCGACCTTTTTCCAAGGTAAAACTTCAACAAATATTGTTATGTTATTCGTTTTTTAAAGTGTCATTTCAATTATAATTTCTGAGAATGATGAAATGTTTAGTCATATCCTACCTATTTCTATTGCCAATTGATTTATAACGTTACTTTAACATTTAATTCATTCTGTTCTATTTCTACTCTAATACATGATTAAAATATCGGTTTATTTATATATACAAATTACAAAAATTTTCTTATTTACGAATATTAACGTGTAAAGCAATGTTTTGTTTTTAATAACGTATTTTCCATGTAACATAAATGTTAATAATACATTAACAATAATTATTGGATCGTATAATTTATAATTTGGTGTATTAAATTTTGATTGAACCATGACCCTCAAAAACATCAGATTGATGCTTAAAAGATAAGCATTTGTAAAACAGTTAACAGATTGAATCGATAACTACATCATTTTTCTCTATGGTTTCGACGTTGATAGTTTCATTTTCATTTTTTTCTACTGTAGTCAGATTAGAACATCGTTGAAATACAAAACCTTCTCTTGCTATTTTAAATATATTCATTGGTGTAAAATGATATGGAAAAAATTGTAAAATAATTAATAAATTACATAAAACAGCTGAAATTAATTCACTAACTGCTGATATTTGTTCAAAATAATGTTCTTTTTGTTCAAAATAAAGCCATTCCGTAGCGACAGATGTTGTAACAGTTGCAACAAATACATATAAAATTGACTTAATCCATATACCTTGAAAACGTGTATATGATTCCGAAAAGAAATCAAACAATAAAAAAAAAGCAATTGAATCTGTTGTTAATGTTGTATAATCTGTACTTATAAAAAATGGTAGAAATATAGCCAGAATAATTTCTAATCGAGACATAAAATGAAATAAATGTTTATTTTCAACAATAAAATTTATTGGATATCTCATTATAATTCGACAATAGATTAACATTATTGTCATTACTAATTCAATAAAACCCCATAAACAATAAATAATTATAAAAAATGGATCTTTTTTAAATATGAATGATATTATATAACCAATTGTACCAATTTCACTTAGGAGACATAAAAAAACATAATATATACAAAGTGATAAACGACATTCAATCGGTGAACAATAACGAAGATATGTAAAAACTATTAGAATCGTTGAAATTAAACCTTCATAGGCATTATGATCTGATCGATGTGTAAAATAATAAAATGCATCGAATATATAAGCACCTTCAGCCAAAAAAGGTAAAATAACCATAGACCAAAGAAAGAAATTATCTCGACCTTCATGAGATCGTCTTTCTGATAAACGAAGTATACTAACCATAATTTATTAAACTAAATAAATAATTCTTACCAATTTGATCTGTTCAAATCTAGTTATAATATGCATGTATACTCAGATTTATCTATTTGAACTGAAAGTGCAACCTTTTTCTTTCAATATACGAAAACCATTCATCCATACGGTGATAAGTGACATACTCTATCCATCAAACAGTCACATCTAATACACTAGTTGACATGTATGGACTTTAATAGCTAGAGCGATTTATCGAAATAAAAGATTAGAATATGTAATTTCTTATTCAATAGATATTTCTCATATATTGTTAATTATAAAAAATAATTTAATAAGTATTTTTTAAATACTGTAGAAAAATATATAACATAATTTACAATGATGAAATCGATCATTTAGAAGTAAGTCAAAAATTACTGTCATCTGTTGGTCATTGTTTCATTTTGATTCGTTATTATGTATCATATATTCTACCACACCTGTTTGAAGATGTTGCAATGACTCAAATAAAACAAGATAATACTCATTGCTTATATATCCTGTTTTTTTTATATTGCATAGTAAATATATCTAACAAGTTAGTAATTTTATTTTGTTTTTCTTTATTTAAAATAGTGTTTGTTTTTAACAAATGAATAGTGTAAATTTTAAAAGGATTAATTTTTATTTCTGGTTTTTTGCTTTAAAACAAATTTATCGTTGTGATAGTTTGTATTTTCTAAGTCTTAGATTTTGCCTGCAGTTGTTGTAAATAGATCAGGAAAAGGAATAAACATATGTACAATATTATTCAATGCTCGTGGATACCAATGAATTCCATTGTCATTTGTTTCGTTCTTGTTAATTAAACCAAATATTTGTTTTAATTGATGAATCCAACGTAAAGGCGCCATAGCCATATGTCCTATAGAATGATAATAAATAGATGCATAGCAAGATGAACTAACACTATTGACAAGTAATGTTCCATGTTGAGTAATTGGTGTTGCATAGCCATGTTTAAGTTCGACATCAATTGAACGTATATTTGATGCTTCTATTTGATTATTTTCTCCACGAATAAATAATTGATGTTTTTTTGAATCAATATGACGTGCTTGAATATATGTTCGATTGCCAATGTAAATAAGATGTTCTGGTGTTAAAGATACTTGATGACCTGTTTCAGTAGTAAATGTATAAAATAGAGCTAGAAAGAAATTTTTAGAAAAATAGTTAGAATTATATTTTTTGTCGTTATTTACCTTGAGAATTATTTTCATAATGTAAAATAGCAATAATTTCTGTTGATATAATATGATCATTTTTATCAATAGCCAATACTTTTTCACCTATTTGAAGATTTCCAATAGATATTTGTTTGCCATCTGGTTTTTGTGCTGTATCGTTTAATGAAAAACATTGAGGTCTTGCTAAATAATATCAATAATTCGATTTCTAAAAAAATGATAAATCAAGAAATTCTTACCAACAAATGGACATTCTTCATTCATCTTTTCACCTTTATTGACACAACATTTTTGTGATAATTCAATTAATTCTGTAAGTGATCCACGTACAAACTAAAATAAACGAACGACTTTTTTTTTATCAAAAAAAACTTTTTTGTCTCGTATTACTTCTTCACCAATACAACCTCGTGTTTTTGTTTTAACACATTCCATAAAACGTTCAGCCATTGTACAAAACACTTTAATATTTCCTTTAGTTGCTTGAACTAAACCAACAGCATCAACAGCAACACAACTTAGAATAGATACAGGATCCGCTAAAAACTCCATTATATTTTAATTATTTTTGAACAACAAAAAAAACAATTCTTCTATACCTTCAACAGGACAATTAGCTGCAGATGATATTGTTAAATCGAATGTAGACATGAAGTATACAATCGAATAAAGAAGAACACGATGCTTGTTCATCTTTGTAGTTTGAATAAAGAATGAAATTGAATGATTGAACAAGTTGTTATATTTCTTCTTCTCTTATATAGTTGATGATTGTAATCATAAAAAAAATTCAAATCCATATTGATCCAACTATTATTCTGTTTATTTAACTATTTTGAAAAACATAACTAAAGTTCTTTTGTCTCGACAAAGCTTTATTTTTTATCTGTTTGATGATTATGATCATCATTAGAATACATAAAATTTATTCATATGTCTAATCTTGTCTCTTTACATAATCTTCTTTTCTTTTTTTTTGCAGATTAATTCTTTTGTTTTGTTTAACTAATAATGTTGGTTTTAGCATCACTTGGTAGTTGGTTACCATTTGCTATTATTGCTATTGTATGTATTATGAAACTATTCTTTCTTCTCTTGTTTATTCATTATAATGAATTTATTAGGTAATAATAGTATTTTCAATTCTATTCACTACACGTTATCAACAGAAACGAAATCGAAATTATTTACTTACATGTATTTGTTCTACTTCATTGATTATTGCTTTACTTACAGCAAGTTTATTACCAACAGATGTTATTCTTGTATCATTTATGAAAAATTCGAATGGAACATTTAAAGTGAGAAAAAAATGAGATTGAATTGAATGAATCATAGATATTATCGCTTTAGGAATGGACACAAAATCAAACAACGAGAGATCATATTCAAAAATATGTTGAAATTGGATATTATGGTATATAAGAGTGTTTTGATTATACTGAGACGAAGAATAAAGATGATATTATTTTTTTCTAGCTTTATATGGTCTTATTATTGCCATGGCTTTTCTTATCAATCCATTCCTGTTTTTCTATTACGAAGAAAAAGAAGAAGAAGATCAAACAGCGGCTAAAGTAAAATAAGACGAAAAAACTAAATTTTTTCTATAAATATTTTTCTTCAAGAGAATCTGTGGAGCAATAAAATGGACAACTGGATTATTAATTTTTCTTATCATTCTACTTATACTTGGGTATAAAAATTTGCATTATTTTATTTTTCGAAATAGTTTTTTCTCTTTCGTAGAATATTTGTTCCGCAATTGGCTACACTTCCAACGGATAATTCTACAAGTGAATGGGATAATGTTAAATATTTAATCAATCATTTTGATAGTTCAAGTAATTCCAAGAATATATATTCTTTTGATTTAAAATAAAAATATATTTTAGGACTACAAGATTCAATATCATTTGCAATATTTACATTGAGTATTATTGGGTTTTTCCTTCTGACAATTTATACAGTAAATACATTTGATTGAAAATTAAATAAGTATAATAATATATATTCTTATCTGCAGGGTTATGGATCTATTGCTTTTCCATTAACTCTTATTCGTGGTAAAAGAAGTGCACGATTACAACAAGAAACTATAGAAGAACAACGTGCAGCTATTCAAAGTCAAATTCAAATAATAAAAAAACGAGTAAATTATTTATAAACTTGAAGATTAATTTTTCAAAAATTTTCTTTCAATTAGTATCCGCGTAATGTAACAATGCCACCACGTGACAAACGTAAATTAGGTATGAAATATTACAAGATATTTCAATTTAGTTATTCTTTTTTTCTAGAGGAACTTGAACAAAAAAATATAGCCTTAAGTCGTAATGAAGAATCGATAAAAATTGTTCGTCGAAGTTTCTTTTTTAAATGTCGTTTTATTTATCGACCATTACAAATTATCTTTGGGGTTTTACTACTTTTACTTGCCATACTTATATTTGTATCACTTTTATTAAGCAATATCAATAAATCAATACATTTTGTTAATTTTAAACAAATATTTGCTCAAGGAAATAAAACATTACCAAATCCAATTGACATTGTTTTAACATGGACCGGACAAGTAAAAACAAACTAATTAAAAATATATAATATCTTTATTTTGAAGTTTTATCCAATGAGTTATATTGTTCTATCATTATTATTAACTTATATTATTGTAACATCAATATTTGGTTTACAACAACTTGGTATTTGGTATCTTTGGGTTCGAGTAAGTAGATAAAATAGTTCGTCTATTATATAATATTGGTGTCTTTTTCTTTGAAAAGATGTATCGATTTTCTCGTGGACGAACTAAACCACAAGCTATATTAATGCTTTGTTCATTAATGATGTTTATTGTCGTAGCAATTAATATATTTGTTTATCTTCTTATACCACAATATTCAATTTATGGAGATCAACATTATGCTATTACTGCGAATGTATGTACTGATTTAATAGTTAGAAATGTTTAATCGCTGTCTTTTTTTAATTTATTTAGAATGGAACTGTAATTATTAAACAATGTACACAATATGTAACAACAGGTTAAATTAATATATTTCTTTTCTTTAGTTTTTAATATCTATTTATATTTAGATCAATGTCAAATGACAGTCATGGGTCGGATAATTCTTCGATTTTTTTATAAAGTTTGGTTTTTTGGTGCTGTTTATTTTTGTCTTAGTTGGTTATATCTTGTTGTCAGTATTCTTGACTGAATATCATATTTATAATATAATATGTTTTGTTTTAGGTTTTTCTTATCAGTGGTTTAATAAAATTGTTTCGTAATCGTGAATCAAATATTCAAGAATTTACAATTGAACGTTTATTACAAGATGATAATGACGAAGAAGATCCATTAATTCAATAAAAACTTTCTTTTCGTTTTTTTTCCTAATATCAATCATTGATTTTTTCTATAGAATTTTTCTTTAAATCGATCGATTATAAGAAGATGTCGTTGATTTTGTTCTATATTTGAAGAATTATTTTGAAGTCTATTTTCAATTTTTATTATTTCCTCTTCAATTGATTTCAATATGTTATGTATATCATTTTGTTTATTGTGATATTTTTGTGTTTCATTTAAAAGAAATTCACCCAATGGACTCAATAATTCATCTTGATCGGTTAAATGTTGTAAAATTTTTTCTATTATAAAAAACATCAAGAAACTTCTTTCTAATTTTTTCTATAGTACTTAGAGTATCCGTGATTATTGTTAATCGCTGTTGTAGATAACTTGATGAAGCAGAAATAAGATTTTTCTGATTAAATTCTGCAATATATTCACCAATACAACGAATATCATATAAAATATGATCATATTCAGATATATTTTTATCGACAATTTGAAAGAGTATTATTAATAATGCAAGATCATCCGGTTTTAATTGAGAAAAGTTATGAATTTCATCACTAGTTATACAACGAGGTTTTGTTATCGTTCTTTCCTTAATTGTTGGATGTTGTAAACCAATAAGTTTCGTATTGTAATTATTTTCAGTTATCGAAGTTTTATCACGCGTTATTTGATCCATTGCTTTACCAAGATGTGTAGCAATAACAGCTAACATGAAAAATACAGAGATAAAAAGAGATAGGTCCTCTTAAAATATCTATTACCTGCAAGAAGTTGTCCTACACTATATGTGACTATAGCAGCAAATATATAAAAAATTAATCCAACAACAGTAGTAAATTTTGGTGAATGTAAATCTAAAATTTGTTCAGCTACTTCATTAACACCTTCTAATGTAATACACATATAATATGAATAAAGAGCTTCAGTATAATTTTCATATGGTTCATACATATTTGAATCCCAAAAAGATGTATCACCTTCAAAAGCTATTGAAAGTAATGCAAAAACTGTTACAATAACAAATTCTAATAATAATGTATTATAAATGTTCGATAGAGCAATGAAAATTATTTCAACAACAAAACGTAATAGAGAATGAATACGTATTAAACGAATAGCATGTAATGTACGAAAAAGTCGTTGAATACTATTCGTTTGTGGTATACCAAGATAATCAGATAGAAAGAGATTGTAGATAAACTAATAAAAATCAAAGAAGAGAGAATTATTTTAGTAGAAAGAAATTTGTCCTAACTGGAGAATTGAGAATTACACAAGTCAGATCATAGAAATTCCATATATCATAAAAAAACCAACGCCAATCAGCATATAATTTACAAAATACTTCAATAAATAATGCCGCTAGAAGTTAAAAATTTTATCGATGATTTTGTATTAGAAGAAAATGTTGCAAACCTTTATTAATTTCGTATGTTAATTCAAAAAATATTCTCATTTCAGGTATTTTATTTCCAATTAATAATGGAATAAATGACCAAATCGATAGAATAAACATAATATATTCCCATAAACGTGTAGTTATCAATTGTTGAAGACGAACTTTTAATGTAGGCATGATAAATGAATATTTTGTTGCACGACTCATTGGATCTTTTTCTTCCGGTAGAACTTGAAAAGCAAACTGACGTCGTTCAAATGGATTCGGAATATTATGATAAATTTTATTAGATGATTCCATTAGATTACTTGATGTACGTTTTTTTTATACTTTAATTATTTGTTAACTTACGGCTGCTCGTTTCCTGACTATTTTGATGTTTGAAATAAAGCGCGTTTATTTTTTAATCAATATAAAAACTATCTAATGATGTTGAATAACAAAATTTGTTTTTTTTTGGAAATAAATCATTATAAGAAAAATCTATTTGTATTAAATTAATTCTTGAGAAAAAAGCTTTTCTTTCTATCAAATCGTTTGTATTGATTGAGTGTATAATGCATAGAAAACTAGATGGTATTCAAGTTTCATTTGACTTCGAAATGCGCTGTGAGGCTCGATGCCGAAATCATGATTTTCAGGTTTTCAGAGATTTCTCAACATTTGTAATTATACTGAAATGCAGTCAAATTGATATACTGTCAAAATATAGGTGACACTAATTCAAAAGATGAGTTGATCTAAATCGTTTGTGGGTATCATATTTATATCACACTCGCACCCATACCAAACACCCTCAAGATCACCGATTAAAGCTCGGTATGATCGCTATTTTTTGTTCATAATTATCGTCGACATCATTCAAATCGTGAATTGCAAAAATTCTATGAGTTTCAGTAATGTAATCTGTCACGAAATCATCGCCGATATTAATAATATATGTATACAAAGCACATTGGTTGGTGTATTGCAGTTTACACGATGAAGTACATGTTTTCGTACGTACTGTGTTATTTAAATCGCTCACTATCAATGAATGTAATTTAGTTACGGGAAGACTTCACTACAAGAATATGCGTTAACTCTCAATATAAATTAAACACAGCCATAAAAGAAATGCTATTACGAACAATTGTCTAAAAAATGGAAAAAGCAGTAGAAAATCGATTGAAAATCGAGTTAATCATTTATAATGCCTTATATTCTGTTATAATTTGGTAGTGTCAATCTTTGTTGTTGATCCTTGTTAGAGACATGAATTACTATTTTGGCACTTTTATTTCTTGGATGTCAGACGATCGATATTTATTTCTGCAATTCAGTTTCATATAAACTGTTTCGTATTCTAAGTATATGAGCTAAAAACATCAGAGATGAACTACATCCAATTGCCAAATACTCACCTAATTAAATTATCATATAATGTGTTTCCATATACCTAATTGGCAGCATATTCTTTATGTTTCAAAAAGACCTACAGTGACAAAACGAATTCTGATATATCTTTACATTATCAGTGCGACCTGCGTGTAGATCACTTTTACACAGACTTGAGATGATGATTCAATTCTAATACTTATTTAAAACAGCAGTGAATATCTATATAGAAGTTATTATTTCACTTGTATATCTAGTGCTACTGCGCAATATGTATTGATCTATTATTATAGAATTCTTATTTTTTTACCATCCAAAGATGCAACAAACATTCTTCTGATAGTCTAATTTTGTTCTAATGACCCATGCGAACAATCAATACACGTACAACAAGTCCCAGAACCCCCAGCAAAACTATCAATTATCAAAAAATATTGCTTTATTTAAAAGACATGTTTATGTAATTACAACACAAAGTAAATCAGTTCATATAAAAAACTTCGAAACATATGTGCGAAAAATATGTCACTAAAGACAACTAGCCGTTAAAGCTACCACTGGGCCAAACTATCTCGTTCACCACACCATTGGCATATACCATTCTACCTTTTTCATACATGTTGTTGTCTTTGAACTGTCCTTCGTATCGATCACCATTAGCATAAATGAAAACACCTTGACCTGCTCTATTGTCATCGACCCAATCACCTGAGTATTGATTACCATTAACATAATCTATTTTACCTTTTCCATGGAAGTTGTTATCCTTGAATTGCCCTTCGTACCGATCACCATTAGCATAAATGAAGACACCTTGACCTGTTTTCATGCCGACCATCCAATCACCTGAGTATTTACTACGACTAGCAAAATCTATTTTACCTGCTCCATGGAAGTTGTTGTCTTTGAACTGTCCGTCATAGCGATCACCATTCGCACCAACGAAGACACCTTGACCTGTTTTCTTCCCGTTGATCCAATCACCTGAGTATTTATTGCCATTAGCAAAATCTATTTTACCTTTTCCATGGAAGTTGTTGTCTCTGAATTGTCCTTCGTATCGATCACCATTAGCATAAATGAAGGCACCTTCACCTGTTTTCTTGCCGACGATCCAATCACCAGTGTATTTATCACTATTAACATAATCTATTTTACCTTTTCCATGCATGTTGTTGTCTTTGAATTGTCCTTCATATCGATCACCATTAGCATAAATGTAGACACCTTGACCTGTTTTACTGTCTTCAATCCAATCACCCTCGTACATGTCGCCTGCACATTGAGTTTTCCGCCCCCAGATCATTTTACCTTTTCCATGCATGTTGTTATCCTTGAATTGTCCCTCGTACCGATCACCATTAGCATAAATGAAGACACCTTGACCTGTTTTGTTGCCGACGACCCAATCACCCGAGTATTTACTACGACTAGTAAAATCTATTTTACCTGTTCCATGAAAGTTGTTGTCTTTAAATTGTCCTTCGTATCGATCACCGTTCGCATCAATGAAGACCCCTTGACCTGTTTTGTTGCCGACGATCCAATCACCTAAGTATTTATCACCATTAGCATAACCTATTTTACCTTTTCCATGGAAGATGTTGTCTTTGAACTGTCCTTCGTATCGATCACCATTAGCATAAATACCGACACCTTGTCCTGTTATTTTGTCGTCCATCCAATCACCTGTGTATTTATCACCAGTACCAAAATCTATTTTACCTTTCCCATGCCGCTTGTCGTCTTTAAATTGTCCTTCATATCGATCACCATTAACATAAATGAAGACACCTTGACCTGTTTTCTTCCCGTTGATCCAGTCACCAGTGCATTTATCACCACTAAGATAATCTATTTTACCTGTTCCATGCATGTTGTTGTTTTTGAATTGTCCTTCGTATCGATCACCATTAACATAAATGAAGATACCTTGTCCTGCTTGCTTGCCGTTGATCCAATCACCTGAGTATTTATTGCCATTAACATAATCTATTTTACCTGTTCCATGCATGTTGTTGTCTTTGAATTGTCCCTCGTATCGATTACCATTAGCATAAATGAAGATACCTTGACCTGTTTTTTTGCCGACGACCCAATCACCTGAGTATTTGTCACCATTAACATAATCTATTTTACCTGTTCCATGGAAGTTGTTGTCTTTGAATTGTCCTTCGTATCGATCACCGTTAGCATAAATATAGACACCTTGTCCTGTTATATTGTTGTCGATCCAACCACCTGAGTATTTACCACCATTAGCGAAATCTATTTCACCTGTTCCATGGAAGTTGTTGTCTTTGAATTGTCCTTCGTATTGATTACCATTGGCATAGATATAGACACCTTGTCCTGTTTTCTTGGCGACGATCCAGTCACCTGAGTATCTGTCACCGTTAGCATAATCTATTTTACCTTTCCCATGCCGCTTGTCGTCTTTGAATTGTCCTTCGTATCGATCACGATTAGCAAAACTGAAGATACCTTGACCTGTTTTCTTGCCGTTGATCCAGTCTCCTGAGTATCTGTCACCGGTAGCATAATCCATTTTACCTTTCCCATGCTTCTTGCTGTTTTGGAATTGTCCTTCGTATCGATCACCATTAGTATAAATGTAGACACCTTGACCTGCCATGTTCTCGTCTATCCAATCACCTGAGTATTTACCACCACTAGCAAAGTCTATTTTACCTGTGCCATGCATGTTGTTGTTTTTGAATTGTCCTTCATATCGATCACCATTAGCATAAATGTAGACACCTTGACCTGTTATGTTGTCGTCGATCCAATCACCTGTGTATTTATTACCATTAACATAATCTATTTTACCTTTTCCATGCATGTTGTTGTCTTTGAATTGTCCTTCGTATCGATCACCAGTAGCATAAATGTAGACACCGTGTCCTGTTATTTTGTGGTCGATCCAATCACCTGTGTATTTATCACCACTAGCAAAATCTATTTTACCTTTTCCATGCCGCTTGTCGTCTTTGAATTGTCCTTCATATCGATCATCATTAGCATTAGTGAAGATACCTTGACCTATTTTCTTGCCGACGATCCAATCACCTGAGTATTTATCACCATTAATATAATCTATTTTACCTGTTCCATGCATGTTGTTGTCTTTAAATTGTCCCTCGTATCGACCACCATTAGCATAAATGTAGACACCTCGACCTGTCTTGCTGTCATCAATCCAATCACCCTCGTACATGTCGCCTGCCCATTGAGTTGCTGATCCCCATATCATTTTACCTTTTCCATGCATCTTGTTGTCTTTGAATTGTCCCTCATATCGATCACCATTAGCATAAATGTAAACACCTTGACCTGCTCTATTGTCGTCGATATAATCGCCTGTGTATTTATCACCACTAGCAAAATCTATTTTACCTTTTCCATGGAAGTTGTTATCTTTGAATTGTCCTTTGTATCGATCACCATTAGTATAAATGTAGTCACCTTGACCTGTTATTTTGTCGTCGATCCAATCACCTGAGTATTTATCACCACTAGCAAATTCTATTTTCCCTTTTCCGTGCTTCTTGCTGTCTTTGAATTGTCCTTCGTATCGATCACCATTAACATTAATGTAGACACCGTGACCTGTTCTTTTTCCTTCGACCCACATACCTGTGTGCATGATTTGATAGTATGAATTTGAATAATGATAAGTCGCAACTTATAGGAGTATCAATCATTTCATTATATAAGGACAATAAAGGTGACGTTTCTTGTTATCTAAGCGCATCATTAGACACGGATAAGTGAAAGAGAAAGATCAGTCATCTGCATTGGAATGTTATGAAAAAACAGAGATGAACTAGTATATATACTATCTAACGTTTTTTGTCACGTATACGTGTGATGATGTGCGTTGGCCGAACGAAACGTCACATTAATTGGTTTTAAATGATAAAATGATTGATAATCCTATTACTTGTGTCTTACAACGTACCTATATATTTACCGCCGTCTGCATAATCCATTTGACCTTTACCGTGTTTTTTCTCTCCTTTCATTTCTCCTTCGTATCTGTTACCCAATTGATCAGTATAAATATGTATCAGTGAAGCTTGAACATTAGAAAGTGTGTGGGTAGATGCAGTTTTTGATGTCATAGTCATCGTTTTAAGAGCTGTTGGCAGTGATCCTTGGTCATTATTAGTAATTTCTTGCAAATGGATTAAATGCATTGGTGGTTGATCTAAAGGATCACTAGCAACACGAAATCTTGTACCTGGACAAAGAATGACTTCATCTTCAGTTGGATAGTTGGTACAACTCGAAACATCTTTTCCATTCATTGCTTCAATTAAGAATAAGGTTGAATCTGGTCCAAGAAAGTCCTTGATAATATTAACAGAAGTCGAACATGAACTGATGGACCTCCATATAAATTCGTCGCCTTTCTTAAAGTTTCTGGTTACATCTTTCGAAGCACCACGCCATAGATTTTTTCGAATAGTTGGTAACTTTTGTACTGCTACATCGAATAGTTTAAGGTAAGCACACCAAGGTTTTAATAACAACTGATCTTCAGCACGTAGTGCACGATTAATTACTCGATAGAAACTGTTTTGTCCCCATTCCATGGTATAAAGATAGACAGCAGCTGACTCGTCACGAGTAAGTCCATGTTCGGAAGGAAAATGACATTCGGTTTTTGCGATTTCGCTAAAATGATCCAATCGATCGATTATGGAGTGGATCGGTTCAAGAGCTTTTGATAGAGATACTAGTTGATGAGTCAAGTAGCCAGAGACAGGTGGTAGTCGTTTTGACGTTGATTCGATATCGGTAAAACGATGCATCTGAAATGAATTATGAATGATTAAATGTATATAATCGTCTCAAGAGAAAAAACATTGAGACAGTTATTTGATAGTGTGATAGTAGTGAAGTTGATTTTAAAGTAGAGAGGTTCCATTGTTTTTTCTTCTATTTCAAAGTGTTGATTTGTTTTCTTCCTCGGAAGAAAGAGATTATGTAGAGGATTTTTTGGGGCTCGTACATTAAAATAAAATGTGTTGCAAATTTTTTGTATTTTTCGGACGCTGAAAAGATTGTGTTGTTCTCTTGTCCATCGTAGAAAACGTGTCGACAAATTATGTAGGTTCACTAGTTTAGCTAAATATGATTAAGCAAACAGTAACTGTTATAATAATTTAGATCATCTATCAATCTCTTGTTGTTATAGTGTGAGAAGAGTATAGGTATGAGTGTCGCTACTTGTATCATTTCACACCCTCACCTATTCCGTCAAATGTCTTGTCAGATAATGGAATGATCTATATCTTCTAACAGAGTGTGATAAAGGAATAATCCATATTACTTAACAGTGTGTCATGGTGTTTTTCCCTTTCTGTTGTAGTTTTATCCAACGCATACACACATACATAGCTGTCGTTATCTGTGTGTGTTATATATATGTATTTTCATATATCTTTTCATCTTTCATTCTCTCTCTACCTATTGTTTTTCTCTTTCTCTTCTTCAATAAAGATACTTTTTCGGATGATCATATTTTATTGAATATTAAGACGTGACATGTCTTTTGACATTGAATATTCAATTTATTCATTTATTTAAAAAGAAAATATGTGAATAGAAGAGAGGACAAAAGACTTTCTTTGATATTTGAGTGAAGAATGGAATTTGATATTTTATTTGGAAATTTCTTCTTTTAACAAAATGATATTGGAATTTTTTTATTTTTAAATCGAATATTTATTTGAAGAAAAATTAATTTTGAATGAAATTTTGTTCACTGAGATTTTAAATGTTTATTAATTCTTGAGTGTGAGCGTGGAATGATTATAAGACGAACCCACGCACAACCACACCCATTTTCTACAATAACCAGCATCCAGATCATCAAAACTTGTAAGAACCTTTGAAATTAAATACTTTATTAAAAGGAACTATGCACGATCCATTTTTCGTAAGTCTTGTATATCGATCACAATACATAAAAAATCAATGCTTGGAAAGTTATACTAAACTAGTGTTTCTTTATGTTTGCATAGAATATGAACTTTAAACATTCTAATACTTAGAATGATTCTTATCTTCCTAAAATATTCGTAAAACATAGCATCAAACTATAGTATTTCAGATAGAAGTCGTCATTGTTTTCGTCAAAGCAAACATTTATACAATGAAAATGAATATATCAAGCTAAATATAAAATTCTTCTAATTATTACAGAGAGAATGAATAATAGAACAGTCTTTTATTTTGATTCAAATTGTTACGAAGAAGATAACAACCAACATTTGATTTGTTATTTCCTGACATTCGACACCTTACATTCTATTAAATATCATGTCTATAAATTAAATAATAAAAACAAGTGTTAATGATTCAACTGATCATATTAGAAATTGAAAGTTCTCGTTTTATTTATTTTTATATAGAATATTTACAAAACAAATGTATTCTAATGATGATGTTTTTTATTCTAGAAAAGAAAAAGAAATGATACATTATTGTTTAATTTACAATTGAAATAAATCAAACCTTTTTATGATGTTTCTTCTTTTTCTTATGCTTTTTCTTTTCCTTTAATTCTTCAAATTGTGCATCAGTATTAGCTAATTTTGTCCATACTAGAAAAAGAAAAATAGCAGAAAAACATCAATGAAAATAGCTTACTTGAATTATCATTTTCTGTCTTAACACGACTTGGTAGATTACTTGGAATTGTTGGTCCATAGACTTGAGGTGATTTATCTAATATTTCAACAAGATAAATAATAGATATAAGAAAAAAGATGTAGACTTTACATAAAGCTTCAATTTCTTCTATACTGGAATCGGAACTATCCGATTCATTATTATTACTACTTTGTTGTGTGACTAACGATATTGGTCGCATTGTAATAGAGCTTTGTGTATTAATCGATTTAGGTACATCATCATTCCTTTTTTCTTCAGTTTCTTGTTCCTCAACATTGTCTTCGTCAGAATCTTGGTTATCAAAAATTGCTGAGAAAAAGTCCAATGGAGGACGTTCTTGATTTTCCTAAAAGAAATGCTAGGATATAGATAATTGAATTAAATCAAATAATTAAATACTTGATCAAATGATTCAATAGGAGCAAATTCTAATTTAGGTGCTGAAGGTTTTGCTTGTGGTATAACTGGTATAGTTGATGTTGCTCTTGGTGGTTGTAATGATGGTATAACTATTTCATTTGGATTAGACGTCAATGATGAAGATGATGATAAACCTGAATGAGATTGTTCTATAGGTGTTGATGGTTCTGTAGTTGACGATGTAAAAAGATGTTCAAAAAGATTCGAGCATAATTGTCGTCGAGATTTTTTTGATTCTTTTGAATCATCATAAGCATCACTGAAATAGATCAATATAGTAATATTAAAATTTTTTATTTGTATCAACGCACTCTGAATATGGATTTGGAATATTCATACGTTTGCATAATAATGGATTTGGTTTCCATTCAGATGTAGATCGAGTTATATCACCGTAAAGTTTCAATGAAGCAGCTTTCTTCAGATCATTCTACAATATTAAGTATTATAATCAATATTTATATATATATAAAGTTTGATTTACTTCAAAAGCAGTTTCCATCGATTGACGTTCAGTCATTTGTTCCTGATCGGATGATGGCGTAAATCGATTTTTAACTGCCTCTAGAAATTGTGCTCGAGCACTGTTAGTTGGTACAGGTGTTATGTGTGATGAGCGTTCTTTTTCAACATCCCATTCAAGCGATGTAGTTGGCGTTGCTGTTACTTCTTCTTTCAATGGTGGTGGAGGAGGAGCAGGAACAGGAGGTAGAAGAGGAGCAGTTGGTGGAACAACTATATTTGGTGGTGGTTGAGAAAGAAATGAAAGATCACCAAGAAGAAGACCACGAGTATTAGCATCAAGTTGAACTGATGGTTGTTTTGATGGTTCATGTGTTGTTGTTTCCATCGAGGGATTTGGTGGTGGTGGCATTGCTGATTTTGGAAAACGATGTCCAATTCGAAAATCTGGTGGTATCACAGGTGGCGTATAAACAACAGGCATTGATATAGATTCATAACGAACAAATTTCAATATAAAATTATTTTCTTGTGTTTTTTGTCGCATAATATCTGTTGTTGTATCATTTCCTGTTGTTAATTCATAATCATATTGTTTGAGATCATCTTGAGCAAATAAATCTTTATCATCTTCATCTTCTTCAATACCAACACCAAATGCCTAAAAAGAATAAAGAATTGTAATCAAAGAAATACAATAATTATAAAGTGATATTACCTGACCACGAATTTTAACATTATTAATTTGTTTTTCGACAGATGGTTGAACAAATAAATTAGTATGACCAAATAAATTCAGAGATTCAAGTCCTTTATAACCAATACCATGATGTTCATGTTTTTGTAATTGAAAATGTACTTCATAATCTAATGGTGGTAAACTAACATTAGCATACTACAAAAAAAAACGAGTCATCGGAGATTATTGAATATTATAAAAATCTTACAAGTTGATTATCAAAATATTCATCATCTTCATCGTCATCTAAACGTGATGTTTTTGTAAGCATGTGTTGAAAAGATGGTGGTGGCATTGCTACACCATAAACTTTAGTAGTACTTGATTCTTGTTGTTCTGAATGTGGAGGTGATGGAGAGCGATCTTTTGGTGTTTGTTGTGTTAGAGATAATTTCAATTTGTGTCGATGTTTACGAGACATTTTAGCACCAACACCTTCTCCTGGTTTCCAACCCATACTCATTAGAATTTTTTTACCGATAGATAATCTATACAAAATCTTAATTAAAAAAGTTCAAAAAAAAGAAGAATTTGTATTCACGTTTTTATTTGAATTATATCTCGTATTAAATCTTCATTAGTTCGTTGATTTGATGTTCCAGATGGTTGTTTAGTTGTACTACGTGTTAAAGCTTCATTTTGATCAAATGTACTTCGAATTTTAATCTGTTTTGGATTAATACCATGTTCACCAAAATCCTACAAAAACGATCACGATAATCTTGTCTAATCTATTCCTAATTCTTACTCCTTTATCCATAAAATCTTCTGGTTCAAAACTACGTTTCTCTGCTCGTGTTGTCCGAGATGATTTAAATTCACTTGGTCGCCATCCTGTTAATATATTAAAAAAAATAGATAGTTTCTCATAGTAAATAGTCAACAAACCTTCAACTGATCCAACTGTATTGTAATAACCAGCATTAAAACCACCAGTAAATGCACCATGAAAACGTTTTCCATCATAACCATAATTTGATGCCGATAAATCAGCAAGTTTAGATGCTTTCCTGCCTGAAGAAAAGAAAAATTATGACTATTTGTTTTGTGATTCATACCTTATTATTACTTACCTAATGTAGCTAAAATTGAAGTACTATTGGTTGGTTCAGCTGGATCGAAATGAGTACCAATTGTAACAAAATCTTCTTTACTTTCGTTATCATCATTTTTATTTCCGAATCCCGGATAGCGGGAACTCATAACGAAAAGAAATAAAAATCTAAAATAAATATTGACAAACAGCAAGAAGATATCCAAACGTTGTTCAATAAAATAAAACAAATAATTTCGTTTAATAAATTTTATTTAAAAAAATTCATCTAGAAAATTACAATTAAAAATTTCATCTTCTTAATATAAATATAGATTGCGGAGTAAAAATTCATCTGAAAATTAAAAATAGAAACAACTTTAAAATCAACAATTGTCAAATGAAAAAAATAATTTGTCCAAAAAAAAAATTACTTATATGAAAGATAATTACTGGAAGTTATATAGGAATGAAAGAAGAAAATATTGCGTTAAAGTAATTCTTTAAAATTTATACATAAAATGCATTGCTTCGGCTACTCGACAACGTACATCTGAATTTGGATCTTTCAATAGAACGATAATAGCTATAAAAATAAAGAATATTTCATTATTATTTTTTTATTGAATAAGTATTTCAATTATTTACCATTTAAAATATGTTCTTTTGATAGACCATTGATTTGTTCTTCAGTTAGATTAAATATTAAATAACCAGCTACAGTTGCTGCATTTGCACGTAATTCTGGGACAGGATTTTTAAAAAATATTATAGAATTCATAATAAAAAAATTGACTTTATATGGATATTGTTCAACTAAAATTTTGCAAAAATCACTTATAAATTCGGCGTATTGAAGAGATATTTTTGGTTGAAGATTGTCTTTTATTAATTCCATTAGTACGGGTTGATCAAGTAATGGTGCTATAGATTGAAAACATGTTTTACAACTTTCACGTACGGATTCAACTGGATCATTTAAATGAAGTGTTAATGTTACTAACGATGAAAATATTTGTTCAACAAATGCTTCACGTGAAAATCCTTCACATACAGATGCCATTTTACCAAATAATGTGAATGCTGCTGAACGTACTTTTGCTTCTTCCTATATAATATGAAAAAGATATATATATATGAATTATTTATTATACATACTTTTTCGAAACAAGGTCGAATACGTAGAAGAACATTCATAAGAATAGGTCGTACTTCATCTTCGTTCATAACCGCAATTACATTTGATAATGAACACATTGCTTCTAATGTAAGTAGATCATTTTTATCCTCACGATCATCCAAACCAGAAACTATAATTTAATTTAGTTTAGATTATTTTTTTATAATAAACTTCAATTATATATATATATATGATCTTACTTAATGATGCAAGAATAGTAGTTGGTAAGCCTTTGTCTTCTTGACTATCACGAACTGGTCGCCACCAACCAAGACCACGTAAACAAAATTTTCTTACATATATATTATGATCAACTAGTCTTCCCAAGAGATAACGAATAAGTTCACGAACAAAACGTTGATCTTCACTATCATCAGGATTACATCGAATAAATTCAGCAAAAAATGCTGATACACATATACGTTGAGTATCATAAGGACCTTCAAGTACTTGTCCAAGTAATTCAATAATAGTATTTAATTGTTTTTGAGTTACATGACTGCAATGTGATAAACCTTGAGCGAGAGCTTCAAGAGCTGAATCAGCTGTATCAAATTTTGCCATTTTATCCCATGGTACTGTATTATTAACGTCTGATTGACAATTATAAACTTTTAGAAAATGCATCATACAATCATTTGATAAACGCCATGGTTCAATCTTTTTCAATTCATTATTTGATGGACCAGCATTTGTTTGTTGTTGTTCTGCAGTAGATGATGCTTTTGTTGAACTACGAGATGATTTTGAATCAAAGAAACCCACGCGAGAGGTTGGCTTTTTTGCACTACTTGTATTTGTTGTTGATGTACTAGCTGTAGTAACATTACTAGCATTACTTGCTGTTGAATCACGTCGAGAACTACCAGTGGGTGGCGTAATACGGCGTAGTGGTGGTACATTTTGTGGTGGTAATGTGTCAACATGTGAAGCCATACGTATAAAGAGAGCAGTAAATAAACGTGGGAAAGCATATTCACCTAGATCACATATACGTTCTGATTGAAACCATTCATTGAGTAAATATAAAGCCATAAGTGGTTGAGCAGTAGCATATCGTTGTGAATCTTTTTCTTCATAAGGTAATGAACGTGACCAACATTCCATTATTTGTGCTAGAACAGCTTCTGTTAATGCTCGATTATCAGCAAGATCATGAATAATAGTTATTAGATTTCTAAAAAAACCACAAATAATGAAGAATATGGATTTTTTAAACTACTTACTTAGTAAATGGTACACCAAAATTCATTAACGTACTGAATACACGAGTTGAACACGATAAACTAAGTTGTTTGAAAGCAGCTCGTAATGCTCGTAAGACATCCTCATTTGTAATTTGATTATATTTATTGAGCATAATACCAAAGATATAATCGATCTAGATTAAAAATAATAATGAAATAAATAATAGTAGAATTATGAAAAATAATTATTTATTACTTGATCAGCTAATTCACCATGTCGAGAATCGAATATTTTACATAATACATTGCATACCACAACTGAACCTACAGCCCGTACATCGGCTACGATCTCAGTAGCTTTTTCGATAAATGGCACAAGACACCGTGGTTCAAGATTGCCTGATAAACTCTAAATAAATATAGAATATTATTTTCTATTAAACTGCAAAGTCGATCTAATAATGTGAAAAGCAAACATTAAATGCAGGTGGTTTATATTAATTTACATTCTATGCAAACTAATTATTTCGATACATTGTAAGTAGATTCTATCAGACAGAAGCATTGTACAAAGATGAACTAATACAGACTAAGAAACGGTACCTGATCATTCTGTTTGATACATTTAGTGGTATCAAAATACTGTTGAAAGAATATTTTTAAAAAAACGTATAACTAATTTTATGTTATGAATAATATATTTACTTGTATAGTATCATCATTTGCTATTTTCTCTTGTTCATTAGTGATTTGTTCATCATTTAAATTTTCTATGATACCTTCAAAAATTAAACAATAAGTTATGTTGATGTCATTGATTAAAAAAAGTAACCTGTTGCAAGTTGTGTTTGAAGACGTAATAATCTAGTAAGACTTGTATTTGTTGCTAATTCAACAGTTGATTCAGTATCAGTTAAATACATGAGGCAAAGAGCCATAACACCCCCAATATCAATTAAATTCTATATTAGTGATAAGTAAAATGAATGATTTTTTTTAAAACTTCTTAAATACCTGTTCTTTCAATTTACTCATAGCATCTGATTGAATAAGTTGACTAAGTATATCAAATGCACGAGCACGTTCATTTCCTTGAACAGATAAACAGAAGGGTTCAAGAAGCTAAATAAAAACAATCGATTATTCTTAGAAATGGTTCAAAATCCTTGTTATTTTTCTTACATTAACAAGACTAGGAAATGTTTCATGTGAATCTCCTAGACTAAGTATTTCGATGATCAGTGCACTAAGTGATGTAGAAATTTCATCTTTTTGAGTTGTTGAAAGATCCTAAATAAGAGAATATATTATTAGAAAAATATATTATAGAAAAATGTGAAGACACTTACAAGTTTAGTCGAACAGTACCAATGTAGAGCAGCTCGAGCTAATTGATATTTTTCAGGAAGTGTTTGTCCAGGTTGAAGAACACTAAAATAGTAAAAAATTAATTAAATACTTATTTAAAGATAAATTTTATCTCTCTTTACATCAATGCATGACATGCTCTAATACATTGATTAAATGTTAATGGTTGTAATTTTACATTTGTTTCTTGTGCAATATAATTCACCATTTCTTGTACAAGATCATTTCGTGATGCAAAAACAAAATCAGTTTTTAAATGTTCTTTATTCATTGATTGTGCAAGAATAACAAATGATTTAGCAACAATTAATTTTCCTGTTTCTTCTCTTATTTGTCGAGCTATTTTAAGTGCACTAGTAAGTATACTTGTTTCTAAACGTGAAACAATTAATTCAAGTGGAGCATATATTGAAACATATGCATAAGCTAGAAGTGCTGTTGCACGTGATAAATCAGAACTTGTATCAGTTTTTGAACCAAGAAAACCAAACAAACCACCACCTCCACCTGATGATGAACCCGAACCTTTTGAATCAGTAATTTTCAAATATAATTCAAGTCTTTGTAATACTATATCGAGATGTGTTGCTGAACATAAACCAAACATAGCTGCCCAACCATTTCGTTCATTTTCATGTTGAAAATTGATCACAGTTGTCATTGATTCAAGTGTACGACTAACAAATTCTTTTATTTTTGATTTACGTAATACAATACCAATACATTTATAAGCAAAACCACGTTCACGTTCTAATTTTGTGTATAAAGGTAATTGTTTAACAAAACAAGCACCTATATCACTAATCCAATCTTCACGTTCAACAACATCAAGTGTTTTCGAAAGAAACTAAAATATGATATTTGCTTATATTTATAAAACAAAAAACAAAATGATTACTTTAAGTATAAGATCTTGCCAATTTGATGAATCAAATTTTTTATTTTCATCATCATCATCATTACTATTTAAACTTTGAAGTAATCGTGGAATAACTTTTTCCCATAATTCACGTAAGTCAGTTTTAAGTTCTGTTACAGCAACACGAAGAAAATTAAGAATTGATATACCACGTGTTTCTTCAGCAAGTGGTTCACCAAGAAGAACCTATTTATAAATATATTAATTAAAATAATTATATATTTATTTCAACATACGAAACATCGTGTAATAATTTCATTTGGTTTTGGTAAATTAACTAAAACATCAAAATCAACCCAGAATGTATCTTTTTTTGCTGCTATTTGTTGTTGACCAGCTTGTGCTAATGCTTTACAAATAATTCCAAATGCACCAGTGTAATTTTCTGGAACTAAAAATTCCATTAATAACGGCCATAAGACCTTTAAAAAAAGAAGACATTCTTTATTTTAAATTAAAATATTTTTTTTTGAAATCTTTACTTCATCCATTCCATCAATAGTTGAACTAAAAGCATTTAAAATATTTCGACACATCTTTCGAGTATCAGCTGTAGGTGATGATAATACATCTATTTTACTATCTTCATTTGCTGTTATAGGATAGGTACAATTTCGAATGATATATTCAATTAAAAATGTTCTTCCTTCTAATTGTAAATAGCCATGACATGCCATTGCAACAATTAATTGTGATAAATATTTTGTTATCTAAATAAAAAATTCAATAGAAACTAAAGTTTTCATAATAAAATACTTTTAATGTTGCTGTATTTAATGTTGGTCTTAAACTTGATACAAGTAATGATTTATAATCAAAAGGTGTCGATGGAGCATCATTACCAAATGCATAGACAAGATGACGATAAATAACAAGTAATACAATACGTAATTTATCATTTGAACCTGCTTGTTCCATTCGTTGTAATAACCATGGCCATATTGTTTGTGGTGCATGTTTACCTAGATAATAACTAAATGAAATCTTTTATATGGTAGATTATCTTATTTTACCAAGTATTTGTAATATTCTTAATAATTCATTTTGATTTTTTACAGCTTGTTCATTTCCATTTTCAAATGCTTCATAATTAATTTGAATCTATATAGGTATATAAATAAAATAAAATTTTGTATTTAAATAAAATTATCATACTTCATTTAAAACTTCTTTTAAAATTATATCCATCGAAGCTTTTAATTGTGGTAGATTCCATTGATTTGCTAAAAATACAACAGAATTTAATGTTTCACTAACATATAAATGATCGACATTTTTTCGATAAAATCCAAGAACATTTTGTAGTAAACGTGGAAATTGTTCGGTAAATTTTGGTGCAGAAAACAAATAAATAAGACGACCAACAGCTTGTACGCAGATATTTCTAACCTATTGATTTCAAGAAAAAACAGTGTTAAATAAAATTCTTGGTGGTTTTTTTTGTCTCATTTACTTTTAGTTCTTTTGAACCTATCCAAGCTGATGTAAGAAAAACTTCATAAGCAGCAAAAGCATCATTTTCAAATTGTTGTGGTGCGAATGTTGTACGTATTGTTTCATCACCATTTGCTTGAAAATCAATTAAAGCCAAACAAAATTTAAAAATTACGGCTGTATAAACCCATCGATAATTTTCCTGTTTAACCATACCCATCACAGGTAATATACGAGAGAACATTGTTCGAAGATGTTGAACCATACCACGTGCTAAATATAGGAGAAATTCGAATTACTATTTTTTATTCGATAAATTAAATATTCTTACGATTTGCTTCGGCAAGACTACCAACTGTTTGTAGTACGAAAAATTGTGGCAATTGACCAGCTTTCATATTTGGTAGAAGAGCTTCACAAACAAGATCAGGTTCATATTTACCAATCTCAACTAGGACATCTGAAGCAGCTTGTTGCCATAAAGGAACTAATTCCTATATTTAATATTGAAGAATAGAAACGAAAAAGAATTTCGAAATAAAAACAAACTTTTGGCATTATTAATTCATTGATAGCAACACGAGTAAGTAATTGAAATGTATCATTATCAAATGGTACTTCTCCTTCTTGTTGCTGTTGATAACTTAGAATACCTTCGATAACATGTAAGATAGCAGCACGATGTGTTTCAGGTAATTTTTGATGTTTATCAAGATAATTCGTACAAAGTATTACTGTAAGTTGTGGTAATTTTTTACCTGTATCAATTATAGATTTAGCCACACTATCACGTACTTTATCAGTCTTATCCGAGAGTGCATCGATCAGTGCAATCGTTAACGCTGAAGAAAAATGTAAAGTATAAATTGTTGAAAAAACATTTTTTTTTTAAATCAATTCATGAGCTTTTATGCACGCATGTGCTATATCACTGATTCTTACCTTCTACAGAATTCTGCGAATCCATTATAATCAATCAAAATTAATATCTATAAATAGGTTTGAAATGTGTTCTGAGTTAAATTTTTCTTTTCCCATGTATATACATAGAAAATAGTAAAGAGTTTTTTTTTCTCGTTGAAAATTACACAAAAAGAAAATGAACTGTACGAGAAAAAGAAAAAGAACGCAAAAAAAAAAATAACCAATGTCTGGAATACGCACAATAACAACAAATATATATATGTATATATAGAATATATATGAATTGAATATGTTTTTCTTTTTCGCGGATTCACCGTAATATAACGCAATGCTGCTAAAAGAAAAAGAGAGAAAAAGAAAGAAAAACTTGAACACGTTGTCACGATCAATGATCAACAACGCAGGACTATTATATATGTATATGTATATATGAAAGACGAGACAACGTGTACAAGATTTGAAATAATAACTACTACTATTGTTCAATCGTGGTCGATTCATTAGTTATATTATTGATATTTGTCAAAAATGTTTGTAAAATTTGTAATGTGTCCATAATTTGTTTACGTTTAGGATCATTATTTGTAATATCAATTGTTAAACTACTATCATCTAATCGTCGTTTTTTTATTGGATTATTTTCATCATCAACAATCGTTGTTGATTCACTTTCTTGTTGTTGTTGTTGCTGTTGTTGTTGTTGTTCATCATCAATTTGTAATGGTAATTGTAAATGTTGTTCAATAAATCGAATACTTTGTTCAATTAAATTTTGTATTTTACTTTTATCATTTATTATTTGACAATGTAAATATAATTCTAATGCTTTAATATCTCCAATGATTTGCATATGAGAATAATTAATTGATTTTGATAGTTTTTTATAGGATTGTAACCAATCTAAATTTGTTTGTGATTCATTATAAATTGATTGTAAACAATGTTCACATGTTTTATTTAATAATTGTTCAAGACGTTGTATAAATACTTGTGTTGAATCATTCGTTGTTGCTAACGTTTTTTTCATTGACAATATCATTGGTAAATAAGTATATAAAAATGAATAATTATCAATTTGATATAATGATATACGTTCATCAATTAGAACAATTTCAATAAAATGATGAAAATAATAGGATGATGATGTTTGTAAAAGATCATGAATTAATGTTTGTGCACTTGTTTTCGATTGACTTGATATTTCAAGACATAATTTAGCAAATAAATGAAAATGCATACTTTGTACACCTTCACAAGCAACAAGTGTAACAAGATTTAATATTGAACTATTTAGAGCATTCTGATTGTAAGCATAACGTGCTAAAGAATCGATAAATGTATGATAAGGAGAATAATATGCATGAACAGCACGATCAAATTCTGTGAAAAAAAAACAAAATTTCTATATGTAAAAACAGAAGAGATCGAAAAATAACTAACCTAAATCACGACCTTTGGATGTTTCAAGTAATTGTGTTTTGAAATACATGCCAAAATGTGGTCGAAATGGAGTGTGAACTGTTGGATTACTAATTCGATCAATCGTTCCTAAAAGAGAATATGATATAATAATCAGAAAATCTTGTAATTTTCAATAAAAAATTACCTTGCTGTTGTGTATTATTCGTTGATTGCTTTCGACGTGGAAAATCTTTTTAAAAACAAAAATATATTACTCATTCTTTCATTTTTATCTTATCTTACATGGACCAAGTTGTGGATGTGATTGTGCTGCTGCTTGTTCATGTGTTGTTTTAACATGTAATGCAACATGTGTTAAATCTTGTATACTTAATTGTACAATAATTTTCTTTAATAAATCAACAGCACGTTGTCGAATTTCACTTGAATTATATGAATTAAGTAATAAAAGTAATTTTCCAACTAATTCCATTTTTTCTTTCCATTGTGTACCAACAATATTTCTCATATTTATTGTTGAATTTGTTTGTGGTTTTTTTATTTGTATATCAGCTGTATCAAGTAGATTAGCAATTAAACTTAATAAATAAATTAAATCATTTTGTATAGTTAAAATTTGTGCTTGATTTTGATCATGATATAAAGAAAATATGGTAAAAAATATTGTTGTTAATACAGGTAAACCACGTCGATTTAATATTTGTAAGCGTTCATCATGTGATGCTTGTAAATCACACATATCACGTGTTAAATCAAGTATTATTGTCCATGATGTACGTATATCATTAAAACGATAGATTAGTGTATATAATTCTTTTTTAAAATCATTTATTATTTGTTGATCATCATTGGAAAGATTTTCACGATTTGTATGTGAAATTATTTTACATATAGATAATAATTGTTCACATGCATCAGGATATAAATGTACATATGGTAAAACATTTTTTAATGCCCATGACATATTTTTATGTGAAGCTAATTCTTTTGAATATGACCATGAATATTGACAAAATTGTTTTAATATATTATAATAAATAAATAAAAATAAACGATTATATAAAATTAATTCTTGATCTTCATGATCAACAATAATTAAACACATGGGTAATTGTTGTTTAAAATCATGTTCATAATTGAGAATATTTGTTAAAAAGATTTTTTCATCTAATAATTGTTGTAAAAATATAAATATTAATAATTTATTACCATTATTTATTGTATGATCTTCAATTAATTTTGGATGTGATATTAATGAACATAATGAATGTAAATAATCGTTTTCAGTTAAAAGGGATTTTTCCGATGTATAACGTGTAAAATGTATTAAAACAGATAAATATTGAACAAGACGTTGTTGATTATCATTCATATGTAATTCACTTTGATCATGACCGATTTCAGTTAAAAGTTCAAGAAGATAAGATAATAATGTACGAAGAATTGTATATGTATCAGTTGTAAAATCAGTTGGATATTGTGCAAATTGTTGATGATCAAATAATGAAGAAAATGATGTATTACTTGGAACAGTAGATAGCTAATAATACAAAGCAAAAAAATGAATTAGATTTAATTTCTGGAGAAAATTCTTCGATTGAACTAGAAGTTTACCAGTAAAATAAAAACTAGATTGTCTTTTAAGGAATATGATCCGTTACTCAAGAAGCTATTCCTCTTAACATTTTATGTCTTTAGACTTAAGTAATAGTATTATACTTATATATAGTATGAGAGCAAATGAGCGAAAGGTAATTCAGCGAAATGATTTTTCTTGATGAGGGTATGGACAAAAAGTGAGGGCAGGGATGGCGGCGCCTTCTCGAAGACCGATTTTGCCCTCCCGAAAATTGCAATTTTTGTGCTTATACTATGTGTTTTCCCTTCAGAAATTAGGTTTTCGCCCTTCCGGAAATCGCTATTGCACTCTCGAAAGGAAAAATCTAGATAAAACACTGAGTGAGGGTGAGGGCGTAAGGTGTTTCACAGTTGTGGCTTTCGCTCAACGAATACTATATCTATATAATTGTGTAAAATTCTTTACTTGTTGATTAAATGTTAATAATGATGTAATTGTTCCATGTGTTGTTGTCGTTGTAGATGTTTGTGCTGCTGTTGCTAATTGTTGTTTAGATAAATTTAAAAAATATTTTCCTGTTCGATATGTTTGACGAAATATAGCTGATGGTACAAGAGCAACCATTAATTGTGCTATTAATGTTCTTACTTTTGTATATGTATTATATAATAAATAAGATTTTAACCATTGTCGTATATTATCATAAATCCATCGATGTATAATTGATGATTTATTAACAACACTATTAAACCATTCAAAGACTTGTGTGGGACATATATCAATTAATTTACCAATTCGTACAACAATTAATGATGCAAAATCACACCAATTTTTATCGAGAATTATTGTTGATGATATTTGTTGTTGATCATTTGTATCATTATTAATATTATTTGGATTTTGTTCAATTAAATAAGTTAAAACTTTAAATAATGCTTGTAAACTATTCATATCATTATTATAATTAACAATCCATTGACATAAAAGATTAACTATTTTATTTGCATAAACATCATTTTTATAACAAATTAATTGTATAATATGTGCCGTAGCTTTTAAATTAATATTATCAAGTATTTGTTGTTGAATAAAAGCAAAATCATTTTCAACAAATAAATGTAAATCAAAATTTTCAAGATTTGTACGTGTACGTTCAGTTTCTAATAATAGAGCAATTAATGGAAACATTTTTTCAAATATTCCTGGACGATTTAAATTATTATTTGTTGGTAAACGTATAGTATTTAATGGTATAATATCATCATCTATGGTATTTGTTGTCATTAATAAATTTGTATTCGATTGATTTTCATCATCTGAACTTGTATTACCATCATCATTATTATTATTTGATGATGATTGTTTAGGTTGCCGACCACGATGTAACATATAAAATGTTATTAATTGTTGAATACATAAACAATCAAGTAATAAATAACATTCATCAATACCATTACGAGCAAAATCATGAAGAAAAACAAAATATTCGGACATATAACGAATTGGTAAACGTGCACCACCTTCATTTATAATTAATAAATATTTACGAATAAATTGTTGAACAACAAGCGAATCTTCATTTGATGAATCACTAAAAAAATGCATTTAAAATCTTCTTTATAGATATGATGAATATGACTTACCGAAAGCGACTTTTATGAAGTACATCAATCAATACACGTGCAAACATATGACGAATAGTATGATTTGGACAACGAACAAGTACTTTTATTAGCCACGTATCATCTTGTGTCATATGTGCAAGAAACCAAACAGCAACTGGTTTACATGCTGTAAATTGTTTACATAAATATTCTACCCAACCAGCCATTGTTGGTTTATCTTTTGCATGTATATAAGTTTCAAAAACAAATGTTATTGCTAATTGTATGGGTAACATATCATATGATTCTAATGTTATATTACTATTATCAGTTTGTTCTTGTTGTGGTTGTTGTTCACCTTCTTTGATGACTAATGGATTTGATGGTACTTGATAATGACAAAGTGTCCACATAAATGTAAAATAATGATGATCAAATAAATGTCGATCACGAACAAAACGTCGATTATCTTCCCATATCCAATCAGATATATCTTTTGGTATGATATATGATATAGGATCTTTTAATTGTAATGTTGGAATATTTGATGTTGTTGTTGATAATGATGGTGTATCAATTCGTTCATAAAATAACATATAAGCTGAATGTGTTTTTTCAAATTGAAAATCAAGAAAACGATCTGAACCTTGATCATATCCTTTTGATGTTATTTCACCACCAAAACATTCATTAGCTATTTGTGATGGATCAAATTGTTTAACTTCAGCATCATTAAATAAATACCAACGATGTTGTTGAGATTGTTGAGAATTATCTAATAATGAATCAGAATTTGTCGAAAGATTACTATCTATTGGACGTTTGACACGTTCACGTATAAATGAATAGTAATGACCACCTTCTGCTGTACCAGTATGAACAGTAACACCAATTAATTCAAATAAATGAGATTCATTAGGAGATGATGGAGAAGTTGGAGGATATTTACTTGAACTAAAAAAGAAAGCAGATAGTATAAAGGAACTATTATGTAAATTAATGAAAAAAATTTATATATCATTTTCAAATCTGTCAACACCTACTTTTACTATAAACAACTCACTCCTTCTAGAAAATTTTTTGAGTTTCGAGAATGATAAAATTAAAAATGGCTCATCTTATTTTTAGAACAACTGTTAACTCCGATTTGAAATCTTATCGAAATTGGCATTGGAACAGAATTTTATAATCTAACCAAATGAATAATTACCTTTCATTATCTTTTTCTTCATCATTATTACTATTATCATCTCCAATTAATTTATTTCTATCAATTAAATTTGTTTCCATATAACCACTCATATCTAATTGCATTGGAAATTGAAATAAAGTATTCACTTTTTCTCGTTGCATTGTTACCATATTAAATGTATATCTCATTGTATTTAAACATAAAATTTTCGGTAATTTTCTAAAACAAACTCGTTTTTCAGCTCGAACTTTTTTCGAACATTTTGAACATGTATACATATTATCACCTTCTAATGTATCTTTAACTGTTAATTCAGCTAATGATTCATGTACATCTTTCATATCAGCAACTTGACAACGTACAGTATAAAATTCTTCTAATTTTCTTGATATATGTGGACAATCAAATGAAATAACAATATTTGTTAATATACCACAAAATAATTCTCGAACAAGTTGTTTTAAATCATCGGACATTTCTTCTAATTTTGTTATTAAATCAGTAAAAAATTCCGTCATATCTTTTTGATCGCCTGTATTTAAAGATAATAAACCATCCATTGTATAAACTTTACAAAAACTTTTCGGATTATATGATCGTCGTTCACTTTCAAGTAAATATGCAAACATACGTTTTAATTCATAGAGAATAAAATCATGTTTGCCAGTTTTAGTTGCATTTAATATAGCTGTACGTAATTCAGGTATCATATATAAATGTTGAATACTTGTTGCAGCATAACAAGTCGCACCTAAATTTGTTAATCCAACATAACCTGAATAGGATCGACCATCATCACGTGGCCAATAATCCCATATATATGGTTGTTGACGATCGATTGAATTATGTTGTTGAAGAAGTTTTTTTTGTAATTGAATAAAATTTTCTCGATTAATTTTTATTAATTCATTAAGAAATTCATAAGATTTCGCTCGTGTTAATAATGATTTACATTTTGGTACAAAACGATTTTCACTTGTTGGTAATTCAAATAAATATTTAAATACACGATCAATTAAATGAAATGTTAATTGTTTATACGAAGGATTATCATTAATATTAATTTGTTTAAAATATGAATTATTATATTGTTTTACAATTGATGTTAATAAACAAAGTAAACCATATAAAACTTCATCTTCAATTAATTTATCACGTTGTGTTTCATATGGAACATGTTCATGAATAAAACTTATTAAAATTTCAATTAATTCATGATCAAATAAAATTGTATGAATTGTATTTGAATCAATTTGATTACAAAGTTTATTTTTATTTATTTTTATTTGTTTGATTTCATCATAATGCATACGATCAATAATGGATGTTAATAAATGAAAATATTCATGAGATGATTGATTAAGAAAAAATGAATGATTATCACATTTTGTTATTATTGTGGATGGAATATTTAATGATTGAAGAGAAAATGATGAGAGAGAAGAATTTGAATCAAGATTTAATTGAGATGATGAAGTAAATTTAAGTGCATAAGGTATTAATTCAAGAAGATTGATGAGAATAGGTACGAGACAAATGCGTTCAGCTGGAGGTTCATTGGATGGTTCGATTGATGATGAGATTGTTAATGTTTGAGCAGCTTTTTCTTCATCGATTGGACAACTACGTTGTGTAGGAATCGGTGGTGGAGGAGGAAAATCTGTTATAGGTTGAAGATTTAATTCATCACTTGTTCCTGGAAAAAGAGAAATAAATATTTATATATTTCTTATGGTAATAAAAAAAAGATGAAAAATATTTTGAGAACTGAAAAGGTCCTCTTTTTTTGTGCTTTAAATAAATATTCTGATCTATATTTGTATATCTTATCTATTCCTAATCTATAACTCTGATTTGATATCATACCAGAAGAATTGTTACTAATAGTATTACTTGATACCATAGATAGTCGATAAATATTTAACAATGCTTCACGTTTAAGTATAGAATCATATGCATCAAGTAATAATGTTTTTAACCATAGACTTAATTTTGGATGTTCAATAAATTTTGTACGAATATCATCATATGAATGACATAATGTTATAAATAATATCATAGATGTATGTAATAAATCTGTACGATTAGCAAATTGTAATAAAACAACTGGACAACATAAACGTGTACTTTTGGTAACAATTGATAATTGTATATCGATGAGAGTATCTAATAAAACATCTTTATCTATTAATGCAACATTTTCCCAATGTGCTTCATGAATATGAAAATGAGATTGTTGATGAACAATTGGTGTTGATGATGGTATGTCAATACTTGTTAAATCTGTTGAAGATAAAGCAGCAATAATCGCTGGTGTTGTTGTTTCACGTCGAGCTTTTTTTCTTGTATTTATTGGTGTTCGTGGTGAATGTTGTTCGTCAACAGCAGCTGAAATAGTTACTGGTGGTGCTGATGATGGTGGTGGAGGTTGTTGTTGACCTGAAGATTGAATAGATGGTGTAGGTATTTTTAATAGACATGAACAAAGAATTTTCAATGTATATAAAAGTGCTTCAGGTAATCCAGCACACCATGAACGATCAATTGGTCCAGTAAAAAATGATTTTGAAATAAATAAATCATAAAGATATTTTAAACCACCTCGACGAACAAATAAATCCTTATATGTAGGCATACGTCTTATAAGCATATCAATTATTTGTAAAGAATAAGTTAAACGAAATGGATCTGAACGTTGTAAACAAGCTGCCCATTGTTCAATATTATTTTCATTATCATTTAAATCATTCAATTGTGATAATTTTTGAAATATACCACTATGTGTTGGAATAAGTAAGAGAATTTCCCATAGACGACTAACAGCTAGACGAGCTTCAGCATGCTCCGATGATGTTTCAATAAAAGTTTGTAATTGTGCAAGAATAGAAAAAAATTGTTCAATATATTTTAATAATAACATCATTGGCATTTTATGTGGTATATAATTTTTTAAAAGACGTTCATCAATATTATACAAATCTTTTGTTCGATTTCTCGTTGATGCATTTATTAATATTGTTTGATTATCTTTTATATTACATTCATTTAATGTTTTATCATCAAAATCTCGATCAAGTTCTTGTCCATTAGCTAAAACACGTATTGATGGTAAATTTGACATGTGAAGAAGATCAAACGATGATGATGATGTTGCTGCTGTTGTAGTTGCGGTTATTGATGATGTTGGATTTGATAAAGGTAAATCATTTTTTTCAATTGTTAATAATGTTTGTGTTAGAACATTTGTCATTGTTGGTTTTAATGTACAATACCAACGTGTTAATTCCGCCCTTAAATCACCAATAAATTCATTTGGATTCATTTTTAATATATATTTTTCTGTCCCACCACTTGCATTTGGTGCATTACATATTAATTTAATCATATTTGTATCACGATCATCTGTTAATGCTAATTGTTTAATATGAGGTTTAAGTGATGATGATGAAAAGAAATTATTTGAATTATTCGTTGTTTGTGATATATATTGATAAAGACGTATAACATAAGAATACCGACGCATAAATAATTCTAAATGTGTACGTAATAAAACTGATATACGATTTATTGTACGTAATGATGATAAATCTTGAACTGTATTTATACATTCATTTAAACAATTCATACAACGTGCAATAAATGGTTCTTCACGATCAAGTGTACCATCTTCATTTTGTATTTGATAACTATTTAATGTTTGTGCTGCTAATGTACTTACATTTTGATCTAATGCACGCATAGCAACATCAC